AAGAAAAAAGAAATAAAAGAAATACCATTCTGTATGTGAAAAAGTTTATTAAACAAAACAAGGGCCCCTCCAGGCATCTCTCTAAGCCTAGGTTTCCCCAAATATAAAGTCAAGATAATATCTATCTCATTCATTTTTTTTGAAGCAAAACATTTATTGGTACATTTTAGATATACATAATGATAACAATCATCATAGGGAATATGCAGCTATACATGATATATACTGCCTACCTCATTCATAAGAGCACTGTAACAGCAAGAAAATTGGATACCTAAAAGCTCATTCTTTTTTTCTTTTTTTTAAAGCTCATTCTTGAGAAAATTGTTAAAATGGATTGTAGTAAGACTTCTAGCTAGCTGGGCGTGGTGGCGCATGCATGCCTATAATCCCAGCACTCAGGAAGCTGAGGCAGGAGTGTGGCTTTTAGGCCAGCCTAGGCTATATGGTGGGGTTTTTTTTGTTGTTTTTGCTGTTTTTTTGGTACCGGGGATGGAACTCGGGTCCTTGCGCTTGCATAGCAGGCATCGAAACCACTGAGCTAAATCCCTGGCCCTATATAGTGAGTTTAAGGCCAGCTTGAACTACATAGTAAAACACTGTCTCAAAAACCAAAAAAAAAAAAAAAAAAAAGACTTCTAGCTAAATAGGTGCTTGGCTCCAGAGAAAGCCTACCACTGAGTGACATTCTGGTGGCCACCCAAGAAATGGCTTTCTCTTTCCCATAGAAAAGCCAAAAGAAAATGAATGTTCCTCTGCCTGTCCTGCCACCCCCTCTTCTCCCACTGGACCTGGGCCTGGGCCTCTTGGTGGCTCTTTAGTGAATAAGAACAGAGAGCCAAGAACTAGCAGATATCAGAGGAAAGTCTCCAAGAATGAAAGAGATCCCTCCCATACATTAAAAAGAAAGAGGGGCCAGAGATTTAGCTCAGTGGTTTCGCTGCCTGCTGCCCAAGCTCAAGGACCTGAGTTCGATCTCCAGTACCAAAAAAAAAAGAGAGAAAGAAAAGGGAAAGAAAAGAAAAATAATCGAGGACTCCAGGCAATCCAGGTAAAGCATTTGGCACACATAAGGCCCTGAATGTTTCCCTTTTGTTGTGGAGCCCAAAGCTTGACTGGTAGCACAGAAGGACCCATCTCAACCACAGAGCTGCTCAGAGGTCACAAGATTTGAACTGGTGATTTTGCTGGCAGTGGACTTCACTTCCAAGCCCCCATCTGGGCACACTTTGTCTGCTCCTAGTAATTAGAAGGTCTTTTTACGAGCTGCGATGATACATAAGGTCCTTGAAATTAATTACCAGTTCTGTCAGGTTTGACTCATGAGGATGGAGCAAGTCCATGAGTCAGTGGGGGAATGACCCAGCCTCCTGCCCTAACTTCTAAAACAGCAGTTGAGCAGTTGTCTGGAGAGGAGAAGACAAACCCCGCCTTCTCTAGTCGCCTGCCTCAGAACCCCAGGAGGTGCCTGTTGAGAATGAACCTCAGGCCTTGGGGAGCAGGGGTAGAAGCTCAACCACCATCCCTAAGCAGTTACATGTGGAAGCCACTGTCACAGTTATGCCAATACACTACTTTCTACAGTTCAGCTCCCCCTATGTTTTGGGCCTTTGTTCTGCTTTCAGAAAACATTCTCTTACTTATTTCCAGGTGAACTCTCAGTCATCACACCTCACCCCTTCTCCCTCATCCCCCATTGATCTAAATTTGAAGATTCTTAGCAGGGCAGCCAGGTGGGATGGGAGGGGCTGCTCAGAGGTGAGAGACCTCTCTGAGTGGATCCTCCTGGGTCCCCACTTCCAGGGCTCCTCTATGGCCTTGTTTCTACTGTGCTAATGCGTTCGCCAGGATTCACTGGCAAAAGCAAGTGCCAGCTTTCCAGGGCACACCCAATGGCCTGGGCTCTCCAGATGTATTTGGGGCTCAGTCTTCCCAACATTCCGTGAATTTGGCCAGAAAAATGGGGATCAGCCCTCAAGCAGAGTCTATAGACTTGCCTGGCTCCCCTACTAGGGTCCCTCCAGGTAGAGTAGGGCGTTGGGGCAGGTGGGAGGACTCTGCCTGTTCCTGTTACCTGCTTCCACTCTCCCTATCTTATACCCAGACACTGGCGTTCTGTTGAACTTACAAGCCTGGGTTTGGCATATTTATTCTCTGATTAGAAAGTAGAATGGTAGTGTAAGGTCCTGAGTTCAATCCCCTGTACAAAAAAAAAAAAAGAAAGAATGGTTTCAGGGACAAAAAGGAAGAGCCAGCTCCCCACAGTGTGACCCAAGACCCCCCATGGAAGCTGCTCTTCCTTTTCACACAGGCCAAGCCAGCACATACATCTGTGTCAGTCTGTGTCAGCACGCAAGGAGTAGGGAGGTGGCTGCTCCTAGGAGGGGGAAGAAGCTGAGAGCATTTTATCTTAGATCGGGCTGAATCCCCACACCCAGCACACATTGCCTGCTCACTCACCTCCCCCAGATAGCTGGGAAATGACACCTCTGGTGACAGAGCTGGTCCCTGGGCTTCTGCCCCTGGAGGGGGGTGGGGCACTGCAGTGGAGGAGGACTCACACCCTGAGGCTCTGGGAGGCCAGAGTAGGGGAGGGAGAAAGCCAGCTCCTGTTTGTCTCAGAGATAAGTCTACCCACTTCCAAGGATGTAGTGAGCACTCCCCATGCCTCCTTCACACCCCGCCCCCCCATAGTTTACTGGTCCCATCTTGCCTGAGAAGCTGGGTGGGAGTATGTTCGGCTGCTGGGTCCCTTTAAAGCACCTAAATGGAAAATAGTCAGGGATGGACCAGACCTAGGACAATCTACTACTGTACCGTGTCATCCAGATCATGCCATTTATTCTTATTATTACATTTTGGTTTTATTGAGACAGGGCCTCACTATGTAGCCAAGGCTGGCCTCAAACTCGTGGTAATCCTCCTGGCTCAGCTTCCCTTGTACAGGGATCACAGGCGTGCACCACCACACTCAGCTAGATCATGCCATTTAACAAATACATATTTAGTACCTACATATGTACTAAATTTGGGAGAGGATGGAAACTGTCTAAGGTCAGACCTGTGAGGCTAATCTGCATGTGAAATGGCGCCTGTAACCTAAGTACTGCAGGTGCTCCCATTGTCTGCTGTCCTCTTTTGGCCCTGGCCCATTACCGGGGATCAATGACTGAGCCCTGTCCTGTGCACCAGGGGAGCTGACCCCAGGCTGAGTCCGAGCTTGGTTCTGGTTACCCTGCAGCCCCATGTGAAGCAGTCCCACTGGCGGTCTGTGCCCTCCTCCCTGGGGTCTTAAGCTTGCCCCCTAGAGGGCCTGTTCAGCTTGCTTACCAAGAATCCTTGGTCTGACCTATGAAGACAGGCAGCTTTCACAGCTGGCAGGACCCCCTGGGACTTGATTAGGCCAAGGACCGGGGGTGGCAGGGGGCGTGGGGGTGTGCTATGTCCCTTCTCTGTCCCTCAGGGTTCCCCTGAGACATCACCTTGCAGTATGAGGGAGTGAGGCCAACTTCCACTACTCCACTCTGGCCAGTAGCAAGGTCCCCAGCTGTCCACATTGCTGGAGAACTTGCATTAGCCCCTTCTCGTTTCCCATCCCCAGCCCATTCCAGTTGCTGAAGGAGGATCACCAGGTGTTGAGACCCAGGATCAGGGTGAGCCTTTGGGATGTGTGGGTTGTGGACTACTTTGTTGGTTTCACTGATGGGGGAGGATGTGGTTTGGGGTGAGACCGAGTGAGTCTTAGCTGCGGTGTGCCTTAAGGGGCAGAGGACCCAAGGCTTGGGGTGGCTCGGGCGGTCTGTGGTCACACAGGGTGCATTGGTGGCGGGTTTGGGGGAGCCCAGCAGTCACCTTTGGGATCTCCCTAGCGAGGAGGCCGGCGCTAGGCCGGAGGCTCTCCGAAGGCGGCCGGCCGCGCCCCGCCCCGCTCCCGCGGCCCGCGCCCTCCGCGTCGCCTGCCGCGCCCCGCCCCCGCCCGCAGAGCCCGGATGCGGGTGACGTGCGGCCGCCATCTTCCCATCCCGGACAGCCAGCGCCGGTCGGAGCCAGCGCAAGTCGCCCCTGCCGCCGCCGTTGCCGCCGCCACCACCGCCGCCATCACTGCGGCTGCCAAGTCCTCTGCCCGCTGCCTCCGCCATGTGAGTCGGCCGCCCGCAGGCCCCACCGCGCTCCCCCGCGCCGGCCGCCGCCCTTGGGAAAGGGCTGCAGGGAGGGCCCGGGGTCTCGCTCTCGCGCCTCCCGTCCCTCGCGCCCGCATCCAGCTGGCGCCTGGGACTGCGCGCCTCGGGCCAGGGAGCCCCGCGTTCCGGGCCAGCAGGCGGACAGATGGCCACGCGAGGGAGAGGAGCGGGCCCAGTGTCCGTCTGCCCTCCCCGCCCCGCCCCTGTCACCACTGCCGCCAGTCTTTTGCGGGTGGACCCTGGACCACGTCTGTGAGGTGGCTGTCATTTGGCATGCGGGGAAACTGAGGCCCAGAGGGGGAAGGGGGCCTTGCTCAAGGTCACGCAGCTCATCGGCAGCGGCTGTCAGAGAGTGACCGGGGCTCCCACTGGGTCGCTTTCCCGAAAGGGACTGGAGGGAGAAAGGATGGACAAGTGGATGGGCGGAGCCCTGGCCGGAGGCTCCAGGCCCAGGATCTTAATCAGTTCCTGCTCCTCAGGTCTGCTACCGCTGCCACCGCCCCCCCTGCCGCCCCGGCTGGGGAGGGTGGCCCCCCTGCGCCCCCTCCAAACCTCACCAGTAACAGGAGACTCCAGCAGACCCAGGCCCAGGTGGATGAGGTGAGTGTTGGGGTTGTCCAAGGCAGTGGCAGAGGACCTTGGAGCTTGCGGACATGTATGGGGCCCGATCTGGTTGAGTGTGATGACAGTTCACGCCTCTGGGTTTGGGGTGAAAGACATGCCATGCCCTGTCCCTGTCGCCCTGTGAGCACGAACTTAGACGAGCTCTGGGATGTTAAATCGGCTGTGCTAGCCCAGGGTGTGCCAGCCTGGCCAGGTGTGTTCTGGTGATGGACAGGTTGCCTGAGATATCTGGCTACCAGTGTACCCCTGATCTGTGCTCCTTACATGTCCCCAGGTGTGCTGGGCATGTTCTGTGTATGTCCTTGGCATGTTGGCGTGGCAGCATCAGAGTATATGTTCTCTGTGTGGCACAGTGGGCACATGTTGAAGTGCCTCTGTTGAGGTGGGCTTTGGCACATACCCCACCTCGTGGCCCCTCCCCCAGGTGGTGGACATTATGAGGGTGAATGTGGATAAGGTCCTGGAGCGGGACCAGAAGCTCTCAGAGCTGGATGACCGCGCAGACGCACTCCAGGCAGGGGCCTCCCAGTTTGAAACAAGTGCAGCCAAGCTCAAGCGCAAATACTGGTGGAAAAACCTCAAGGTAAGGGTAGGGGCAGGGAGGAGTACTTCAGGGTGAATGAGGGTGTCATAGTTTGTCTTACTGATCTTCTTTCTCACCCCAGATGATGATAATCTTGGGAGTGATCTGCGCCATCATCCTCATCATCATCATCGGTGAGTGGGGGCAGGAGTGGCCAGGGCCCTTTCTCTGGAGAGGTTTTCCCTGTGAATTCTGGGTTTTGAAGGTCATTAACCTAGTTTTTACTTTTCAACAAAAGACACATATAGCTGCTAATGGCAGTCCTGATTCATCTTGTAAGATTTTGGAAACAGGAAAGCTAGTGGGCCCCAGTGTTCCATTGAGGACCCTTTGGGCCGAAGATCCCGGTCTGGGAATCCTGGAATTGGGTAGAAGATGACAGAAAAGACCTAGGGGCTTGAAAAATGACCAGGAAGCCAAATACTCACTATTTGAGCACTTGTGGTCTACTAAGAGGGTGTAGCCCCAATGCCGTACTGTAGAGTTGAAGGAACCCATCTGTCCAATCCCTTTGTTTTACAAATGGAGAAACTGAGGCCAAGAGGGAAAGGGACATCAGCCAGCTGGGGAGTGGGGAGGATTGGAATAGGGCCAGGCCTGACACTCTGCTTTCTTTCTCTCTCTCCCTCTCCCTCTCTCTCCTTCTCTTACCCTCTCTCCACAGTTTACTTCAGCACTTAAATCCCTGAGGAGTCAGCCCTGCCTAGAGAAGGGCCTCTCCCCCACCCCCAGCCGTTCCTCCACCTCTCAGCCATATCTTTCAGCCCCCTCCCCTGGATCCGTGTGTGTGTGTGTGTCCGTGTGTGTGCCCCCCTGTAAATAGCCAGCTGTTATTTATACATATATAATATTATATATATTTGGTCTGTTTGTAGTTTTATTACTAGAAGATTTTTCCGGTTGTCCTTAACACCCCTTCCTGAGGTTCCTGTCATCTATCTTTCCTTATCTTTCCCCCTCTTCCTGACCAACCCCAAGTCCCTTCATTTGCATCTGCTATGCAATATTCCCTCTCCTCTCTTCTCCTTTAACTGATGCCCCATGCCTCCCCTCCATGCAAAATCCCCCCAAATAAAAAGCACCTGTCCAGGCCTCCTTAGGTGCATCTTTGCATCCATTGGTAGGCTCTGAGACTGGCCCTACTTGGTCCTAAGATTCCCAAGGTTTGGGAGCTTCCAGCGTGTTAATTAGCATACATTTGCATACCGACAGCCTTTTTTTAAAATTTAATTTTAGTTCTGTCACTCTTCTATCTGTGTTTCTTTTTTTTTTGTACTGGGGATCAAACTCGGGACCTTGCACTTGTGAGGCAGGTGCTGGAACCACTGAGCTAAATCTCTGGCCCATGTGTTTCTTTTTTACTGAGGAGTTAGTACCTATTGGTCCTCTATCACACTTTCATTTGCACGACATTACTTGCAGGTGGAGGGGAGCCTGGGCTTTTGGGGAATCAGACTGTTCTGGTCCCCAGACTTGCCCCCTCCCACACCCTCTAGTCCAGTTTGCCTCTCCTACCCCCATTTCCCAACCTCTTGTACCCTCCTCTCCCTGCCCCCAGCTGGTGTGTAAGTGTCTTGGAGTTTAGTGTGCTGTGATGGACCAATAATTCTGCCACTTGGGGTCTCTCCCTACATTCCTGCTCCCCGGTTTTCATGTGGGGCACTCAGTTGACATTCCCATGGGGTCTCCCTCCCTTCCATCTGCCTGATCCACCTCCTCCTCCCACCAGGAGAGTTGGGGGTTGGCCACAATCTGATTTCTTTTGGGAGGGGTGGCTGCCAGTATGTGTGTGGGGGGGTCATCACTGCCTTGGGGAGGAGTGGGGCAGGGTAGAGAATCCCCCCAATTCCTGCCTGAAATCTCTGGCCTCACCCTGCTGGAGGTTGGAGGTTGGACTGAAAACCTTCCTCCCCAATTTGGGGGGTGTTGCCCCCATCACTGCCCAGCTCCTCTGACTGCCCCCCCCCCCCGTATTCAGGGTGGGGGTACAGAGTGGGGGTACTAGTCACTGCCAATGTGTGTATGGGACTTGCTGGATGATGGAGATTCTCACCCCTCTCCAGGGCTGCTGAGCCCAGAGAGAGGGAGAGGGAGAGAGGGAAAGAAAGAGTTGTCCCCTCATTAGGTGAAGTGACAGAGCAAAGGTCTAATGTCTTTTTAAATGGCACAATTTTAGGGGTCTGAGGGATGCAGTCCTTTAACCTGCCACTGGAGGGGGCCCCCAATATCTTCCTCCCACACTCCAGGTTTTCTGTGTGGAGGGGGAGCAGGGAGATCTAAATTGTGGTGTGAAAAGGTAGGAGAGATGCTGGGGGTGGAGGTGCTGTGTTCTAGACCCCTCCATATTATCCCAGTGTCCCCTGCCTTCCCTCTTCCCTCACCCCTATGCCCCCAATTCTGTGGCGCATCCAGATTGTGAAAATGTACAATAAATGTGTAATGAATAACCAGCTGGTGTCGGTTCTAAGATTTTTCTTATCAAGGGGAAGGGTATTAGACCTGCAGGTTTAACAGGGAAGTTGAAAACATAATTGCAAAGGGGCTTTGCAGGAGGCCCTGACCTTGGGCAGTCCAAAGTGTGATTCCCAAAGTGACCAGGGGGGGACCACGTGTTGGTAAATGGGAAGTGTCATGTCCCCACGTCCACGCCCTGGGGGGCTTCCCAGTCCTTCCTCCCCACTCTTTGCTGGGCTGTGTTCCTGGTGTGGACTCCTTTCTCTCCTAGATTTAGCTCCAAGATGCTGTAGTCGCTCCTGTGATCATTCCTCCTAGGCCTGAAGGCGATGGCCACTTACATGAAGCATCTTTTCCCCTTTGTGACTAGCACAGTGCCAGCATCTAGAAGGATTAGTTAATATTTGTTGAGTCTTCTCAGGGAATTTCCAGCCTAGTGTGGCATGGGGTAGATGGTGTCCTACCCTTGCACTCTAGTCTGTGATTTGTGACTCCAGATCCTACCTGGAACTCCTGTAGCCTCCGGCTTTTTTTTTTTTTTGGTACCGGGGATCGAACTCGTGTCCTTGAGCTTGCGTGGAAGGCGGCGAAACCACTGAGCTAAATCCCCGGCCCAGCCTTCACCTTGATGCACCGTCACCAGGCACTAAGATGAGTGGAGGGTGCTGGGTGAATTGCAGGCTGGACCTCTCAGGGCTGCAGGAATGAAGATTCAGTAGTGCAGGAATGAAGATTCAGTAGTGCAGGAATGAAGATTCAGTAGTACAGGAAAGCTAGTAATATTTCTCTAACCTGCTAGCTCCTAAGAACTGCTAGAGATGGTTTTAAAAATAGATTTTCAACCCCATCCCTGGAGACTGATTCAGCAGTCCTGTGGGGCGCAAGTAATTCTTTTAATTAAGTACACACTATAATTTCCACCTATTTAAAGGGCTTATCATATGCTAGGGCTTTGTGCTTTTTACCTTCTGAATCCCTGAAGACTTAGGGGTTCTTTCCATAGTACCTAGGACACACCAGTATGGTATCAGGGACCCGGGTTCAAATTTTAGCCCCATTATTGACTAGCGTGATAATTCAGACGGATTACTTAACCTCTGGCTCTCAGGGTCATTTGTCGGGGGATGGGTAGTAAGAAAACCTCTTTGAGGCACAGAAAACACTCAGGAGGTAGCGGTAGCGTCATCATCGTCTTCGGGAGCTAATCTGTGAAGACCGCTTCACCCTAACAGCATCTTCGGCTCGGGAGCATCAAAGGTGTAGGGTGGGGGTCAAAGGCCACAGCTCCGTAGCCAGAGGCTCTCCGCAAAAAGTCCCCACCTACGCCATCGCTGCTTACTTCTGCGCTTGCGTACAGGTCAGGCTCGAGGCGCCTGCGCAGATTCCGCAGTCTTGGGTAAGTGTCGTCAAGGAAAATCTCCAACTTCTGGGTAAACAAGTTGCCGCGTGAGGACGCCGGCACGTGTCCTCTACAGCTCTGAGATCGCTCAGCCTATGAGAAAGCTTAGGGGGCAGGACTGGCATTTGCGTTACCGATCTAGGCTGGTCGGGGTTGACCCCAGAAACCAATAAGAACTTCAGAATTGGGTGCGGGGGTGGCTTCCGCTCAGACTTCCAATCAATGCGCTGGGGCGGCCCCTCCCGCACGTGTATCTAGCACTACCGGTTGTCATGCAGACCAATGGAAAGATGACTGAGACCCGAGTTCCCAATGGAAGCTTTGCGGGGGCTGAGCGGCTGCACGCGGCACGGGGCATGGGTTGGCATCTCTAAACCAATAAACTTTGGGGGCGTGGCATCTCGGACGGTAGGCGGACCTGGAGTAGCTACCGCAGTTCCAGTCGTGAAGAAATCTGGTTTTTGCTTGCACTCCGAGCGGTGAGTGAGGAGCGGGGAGAGTTGAGAGGTGATCGATAAGTGTTTTCCCTGGATTGTGTGGGCGTTAGAAGGGGTGTTAATGGAGTGAAGAGATCATGCAAACGTGCGATCGTCCAGGTGGGAGCTCTGATGGTTGTGGAGAAAAAGGACTGCGAATTCAGCTCTGCAGGGGTGGAGTTGAGTTACTGAGATCAAATCCTTTACCACCCCAGAGTGTTGGACCAGAAACCCTCAGCGACCTGAAGGAGCTGGAGCCCCTGCTCCTGGGGAGGTACTGGGAGCTGGTGGGTGTGCCGGTCCGTGGCTGAGGTTTGAGAAGGCACTTTAAGTACTTGGAAGAGGCAGAAGTTCAGAGGCTGGAGGGACACTCTGGTAGGACAGGTAGGAGGGTACAAAAGTGTTGGCGTGGGATTTAAGAAAGTGATGTGCGACTTGGGTGATGCAGAGCCAGCCTCATCATGGCTCTGGATGTCTTTCTTATGTGTAAAGGGGATGATTTGGGTCTCAGAGACAGGGGATAGCAATTGTTGGGTTCTGAGAAGGATAGGGTATGCTATGCACACCTGTTCCTAAGCTGCTGGTGGTGGGGAGGCACTTGTATCTATACAATCAGGTCTGTGTTAAAGTGGCCTGGGATAAGGTAGAACAGTGAAGTGAGGTTCCTAGGAAATCACTGGGGCTAGGGGCTCCTAGGGTGATCTCAAGGACTTTGTGAACATCGGAAGATGGGCCATGATGAGTGTATGGGGAGTACAAAGAGTCTCAAGTCAGCCCAAGGGGGAGAGAGGTTGGATGGAGTCTGTGTTCCAGGCATCAAACTTGGAATCAGCTGGTTATTTGGGAGGGCCAGGTCTGCCAGTGCTGGAATGCAGCTTAGAGGTTGGGTAACACCTCACGGATTCCTGAAGGGTATGAAGCCAAAGACAAGCCATCATTAGAGCTCAGATATGAACCTTGGGCCCCATTTGTTATGAGGCAGATAATTCAGGTAAGTTTAATAACTTCTGAGCCTTAGTTGTCCTCCATGGAATAGGGTCAATAATACCCATCTTGAAGGATTATTCTGGGAATTAAATAAAATTAAGGTATGCTAAGTGCTAAGCACAATGCTGGGCCATTAAGAATGACTGGGGTAAGAGATTTATGTGAATGCTGTGGCTGGGAACTGTTCTCACATTGACATGTTTTTCTGCAAGTATTGATGGTTCCCCAGTTCCCTCTTCCTGCTTCTTTTGGTCTTTAGGCACCAGCCCAAATTCCCTCATTCCTCCCCTCTATCTCTCTCTGAGGATCCAGGTCCTAGACTGGGCTACTTGCTTTATCCTAGTTTGATTTCCTTATCCCCTACCTAGACCATTCTTGGGCTGCCTCCCCCTGCTCTCCACTCCCCGAATTGTAACCAGAGATTTGGGCTCTGAAGGGGGCCTCTGGGAGGGAGCAAAGGTGTGTGTTCTTTCGCAGAACCTGAGCCTCCAACTTCCCCGCCCTGGCTCTTTGGTACTGGGCCAGCACCAGTGTACAGTTTGGGAGCGGGGAAAGACCGTGCCAGGAACCGTAGGAACGAATGGAAGGGCTGGCAGATGCCTCCCGAAGAGGGCCTGGCAAGGGGCCCGGGGGAGGAACCCCTTCCCCAATCTTTTCTCCAGGAATCTCTGGCTTTGGGACAGGTTGGCTGTAGTTAGGTTGGGGGAGGTGTCCAGGCTGAGTGCATGTCCTGGGCCACCAGCCAAGAGAACACGACGTTCCCAAGTGCGCTGGCCGCCGCCCTCTCGGGCTGGCCGCCTCCCAAACCGCTGCCTCTCCAACCTCCCTGCCCCACATTCCCTGGTTGCCTCGACCCGCCTCCTTCCTCTGCTTTGACGTCACCGTTGTCTCCCGCCCCCTCTCCTCCTTTGACGGCAGCAGAGCCTGGTTACTGTGGGGACAGTGAGGCAGGACGACCTGGGCCTTAGGAGTGGGTGGAGACTGCTGGAGCTCAGCACCTTTTTTTCTACGTAAAAGACAGATCTGGAGGTGGGCGAGCAAGGACTGCCTGGGTCAGGGGAGTTCACACCTAAATTCCCCAAGGAGAGCTGGGGAGGAGAAAAACTGTTTCCAGAGAAGAGGTTCTGGAAATGACACAAGGATAGATCCACAGTATATGGGGGTGGGTTGGGGAGGACAGCATCAGTTTCAAGGAGATTGAGAATCAGGCTCCTGTATCCTTTGTTTTGTTTTCTTGCTTCGGTTTTTCTGGGTTATTTTATAACACTCCTGTGTCCCAGCTTTTCCACAGAGCGGCCCCCGTCCCTCTCACCCACCCAAGGGAAACACCATTGTTAAGGAAAGCTTAGGCCACGTGACAGGGAGGGGCAGGCACTCACATCTGACTGTGTTAGCAGTTGCCTGGGACTTGCTTCACCTGCTACCCACAGTTCCATGAATCCCTGGGAGGAACTACTGTACTTAATACTGACTGGATGAAGGAGCTGTGTAACAGTTCTCCTGGTTGCAAGCGGGCACTTTATTCCCCCAAATCAAGCCTCTATTCTCCTTTTAGGGCTCAGTGCTCTGCTCTTTCCTTCTTTAAAGAAATGACAATTTTCAGACCCCCTCTGCACCTCTGAGCCTCATTCCTTACCTCCTACACCTATCCATTTTACATACAAAATTATCATTTTGTCATGTTTATCAATCACCTATCATGTGTTGAGGTCCTGTTCTGAGCACTACAGAGTACAGTGACTAGGAGATGAAGTCCCAACTGGGCCCCCAAATCTTTTCCTTTTTCAAGCAGTGGGGATCACACCCCCTCCCCCCTTCTCTGTCTAGGGCTCCAGCTGGCCTCTTGTCTTTGCTGCCCCCTTCCTCCCTCTATAGCCCTAGCTTTCTGGCCCTCTCTTTTGGGGCAGTCCTAAGTGTGGGTGGCTCTGTGGAGAGAAGCACTAGTCACTATGTAGCCTGCGGGGAGACCTATTCTCCGATTGGCTGTGGAAACACCTGTCATTGTTTCCCTTCACAACCTCCATTGGCTCTGGCTGCCCCTTCCGTTGTCTGTATTCTCCCTCCACCCACTCACCCTCCAGTCACACGTGGACCCTCACTTGCCCTTCTTTTAGGATTTGAAGTGTCAGAGGACCAGGTTAGCTTCATTATGTATGATGACAAGGCTGGAGAGAACCCAGGAAAGATCAAGCCGGGTTTTGTCGTCCCCCCGCAAAGTTCCTTACAGGGTCCAGCCATTTCATCGAGTTTGGTCCAGCTCCCAACGCCTGCCTTCCTTTTCCCTACCCCTGGATAGGCCAAGTTGTCCTGTTTGGTAAGGCTGGTCAGTTTAGGAAGTATACATTTCTTGAGCACTCACTGTGGCCTGGGCATTTTCCCCAAAGAGGGCCAACTTACCTCCCCTCATTTTCCTTCCATTATTCACTGTGCAAGCCGTCCTGTTTCCATTGGGCGGTGTTTGCAGCCCTTCAGCCCAGTGCCAGCACCCAGGTCCACGTGCGCCCATATGTGTGACACAGCCCTGACCTCAGTGGAGGCCAGTAGCCAATCAGGCGCCAGGGAGTGATCCCCAGCCAATCGGGGGCGGAGCCTACGGCTCTGCGGGCTGGAGGCCAATGAGGGGCAGCGCCTGGTATTATGCAACCCGCCTCCCCGCCTCGCAGAGCTTCTACTCGGCTGCGGGCTGGAAACGGCATCGAGCAGGCGGCTGGAGGGCGCTCGCACGGCCAGGTAGGCATCTCCGTGGCCACCCCATAGCCAGTCTTCGTCCCCGAGCCGGGCCGGCGCCACTTCCAATCTTATGGGCTCAGGCGCTCAGACAGGACGACACTAATCTGTCTTCCTTGTTGCTGTCCATCCATTCTCTGGCCCTGGGGACCTCGGTGCTCCTCACTACCCTGCATCGGAGTTCTCATTCCTGACCTGCTCACCTTACCTCCAGCTTTCCTCCCCTGCCCCACCCATCCCGGCCCCACAACAGACCCACCGCGGGGTTGCCGCCTGTCTCCTTTCTTGTCACTCAGGGGTCTCCAGGTTTGCACTGGCAACAAGACCCCTTCAGGCTTTTGGCGCTCCCCCCCCCCCCCCCCCAGTCCCTGGCCCTGCGCCGCCCGTGATGTAAGCCCGCTTCGAACAGGAACATCCCGTTCCCAGCGTTAGTTCCTGCTGTTGGCCACAGCCTTCCTTTTTTTCCTGGCGCTCTGAAAATGTTCGGGGATGGGAGTGTGCTAGGACGGGTAGTAAAGGCAGAACTGTGATGACTGTTGTGCGTCTCCTGCCCAAGGCTTCGGTGCACGGGCTAGAAAAGTAAGACCGAGGAGAGGATTTCTGGATCCTTGACGAGGGCAGGTGCCGGCTTTAGTCTTGGTGGTTGGGAGCTAGACAGAGAAAGAAAGGCTGTGTTGTCTTGACTAGAATGGCTGGGATCTGGGCGAGAGCGAGGCTAGGAGGCTTTTGCTCGGAGGGCGGAGGGGGTTGTGTTTCGCCCTGGGGAGGCCAGGACCCACCCCTGGAATCCCAATAGGCTGTCCCTCTTCAAACGGCCACCGGGCCGTCCTGGGACCTAGTTCTCATTAGGGCTGTGTGACCCGGATCAAGCCCGCCCAAGTGGGAATGGGTTGTTCCTCCACTTCCGCCGGGGTAATGGGGGAGGGGTCGCCCCTCCTACCCTCCTGTGGGTCCCTCCAGCAACCGCTGAGCTCAGCAGCTGACGTCGGTTTCCTTGGCGACCGCAGCGGCGGCGGAAGCGCGTGGTGGGCCCCGCATGTCGGTGCGCATGTGCAGCGGGGGTGGTGCCGCCCCTGGATAAAATTAGCCCCGAAGCCTAAATATAGGAGGCGATCAGTTCACCCAAAAATTCTGCAGCCTTGGAGTCCCTGGCCTAGTGTGGGCCTTATAGGAACCACGGAATGTGAAACGTTCAGGTTTTGGCCCATGGCCATAGTTCTAGTCGATTGATCAGGCTCCACTTACCCAGGTCACGCTGGCAGGGAATGTGGGGGAAGGCCCTAAAGAGCTTCTTTACCCAGCTGCAGCACCTTTACGAGGACAGAAACAGAATTTACCTTGGTTCCCTATTGGAAGCTCCAGGCCTGGGTCCCAGGAACGTGGGGCAAGCAAGACGGGCTGAATGAAGCTGGCAGGTGCTGTGGGGTAAATCGATAAGCTTTCTTCAAACTCTCCTTTCTGGCCTCCTCTTCTAGGTGCTGGCTGTGATCACTCTTAATCCTCAGAGACAGATTCCACCTCACTCCCTCAGCCAGGCCTCAAAGCCCCCTTGGGTGTGCGTGGTGACATCTCCACCCTCTCTGTTTTCCTGTTCACCTCCACATGGCCCAGACATGAGTGGCCCCTTGGAAGGGGCTGATGGGGGAGGGGACCCTAGGCCAGGAGAATCCTTTTGTCCTAGAGAAGTCCCATCCCCTGGCCCCCCGCAACACCGGCCTTGCCCAGGCCCCAGCCTGGCTGATGACACCGATGCCAATAGCAATGGCTCAAGTGGCAATGAGTCCAATGGGAATGAGTCCAGGGGTGCATCCCAGCGGAGCTCACATAGCTCCTCCTCTGGCAATGGCAAGGACTCCGCCCTGTTGGAGACCACTGAGAGCAGCAAGAGGTATGTATGTGTGCTGCAAAGCTGGGGAGTGGTCTTATGAGCAAGCTGAAGTAGGTGACAGGCCCCAAGCTGCTGGTCACCTGCCCCTCATCTTGGGCTGTTTCTTCTTCTATAGCACAAACTCTCAGAGCCTATCCCCACCCAGCAGTTCCATTGCCTACAGCCTCCTGAGTGCCAGCTCAGAGCATGACAACCCATCTACCAGTGGCTGCAGGTTTGTGGGGTGAGGGCTGGGGGAGAGGTCTGGAGTGTGGACCATACTCTGGGGTTAATGTCTTTATTTCTCCTCTGTTGATCCTGCAGCAGTGAACAATCAGCCCGGGCGAGGACTCAGAAGGAACTCATGACAGCACTTAGGGAGCTCAAGCTTCGACTGCCACCAGAACGTAGAGGCAAGGGCCGTTCTGGTACCCTCGCCACACTACAGTATGCACTGGCCTGTGTCAAGCAGGTGCAAGGTGAGTGGTGCTTCCTGGGAGGGACTGGCCAGGGTCCGGGTTATTGTGTGTAGGAGTCAGTCTCCTTAATGAATGGTGCATGCACACCCTCATCCTTCAGCCAACCAAGATTACTACCAGCAGTGGAGCCTGGAGGAAGGCGAGCCTTGTGCCATGGATATGTCCACCTATACCCTGGAGGAGCTGGAGCACATCACATCTGAGTACACGCTTCGAAACCAGGTCTGTTGGAGTCTGGTCCCTCCAGCCTGATGCAACCCATCCCCACTCCCACAGCTCCTGAGTCTGCCTTTGTTTTTGCCCTCCTGTTAGGATACCTTCTCCGTGGCTGTCTCCTTCCTGACAGGCCGAATTGTCTACATTTCGGAGCAGGCAGGTGTCCTGCTACGGTGCAAGCGGGATGTGTTCCGGGGTGCCCGCTTCTCAGAGCTCCTGGCTCCCCAGGATGTGGGTGTTTTCTATGGCTCTACTGCTCCATCTCGTCTGCCCACATGGGGCACTGGGGCCTCTGCAGGTGAGGTGTCCAGATGCTTGTGGGGATAGATGGGTAGCCCAAGGAAGCTCCTGTTGTGAGGGGTTGGGGACACAGGCTTTCCATTGCTGGGCTCTTCTTGGTCCATGGAAGGGGCGGGGGTTGTGCTTACTGCCTTCCTCATCTGTCCCAGGTTCAGGCCTCAAGGACTTTACTCAAGAGAAGTCTGTCTTCTGCCGTATCAGGTAGGTGGCAGAGGCCTTTTCTTCCCACACTCTCGCTGCTATCGGTGTGGGGCATGACCCTGATATTGGAGGGGTGGCTGTCTTTCCACTGAAATTCTCTAATGCTCCTTTCTTCCTTGCTAGAGGAGGTCCTGACCGGGATCCAGGGCCTCGGTACCAGCCATTCCGGCTAACCCCATATGTGACCAAGATCCGAGTCTCAGATGGGGCCCCCGCACAGCCATGCTGCTTGCTCATTGCAGAGCGCATCCACTCGGGTTATGAAGGTGGGCAGGTCAGGGGCCTGGCCAGGTGTGTGTGGGTGGGGTGGAGGGAGGAAGAATTTCTCTATTGGCTGGAGCTGAGGTGCAGAATGTGAGTCTGGGAGGTACCAGTCAGATTTTTGGAACAAGAGGTGATAGAAGGAGGAGGGTTCAAGTTGCTCTTCTTGGAGGTAGGGTTGGATGAGAACCTTGAGCTGGGGTGGGATGAAGAACACCTTGGTGGATCTTAGTGTTATTACTGGTTTTAGGTCCAAGAATGGCCCAGACCCTCTTTGTGGGTTGTAAAAGTGAAGGCTGAACTGTGAGGATTGTCAGCCAGGTTGGGGCCCCAGGCAGGGAGGAAGGCTGAGGAGTTGTTCCATTCTGGGCAAATCTAACAGCCACATGTTCTGTGCTTCAGCTCCCCGGATCCCCCCTGACAAGAGAATCTTCACCACTCGGCACACACCCAGCTGCCTATTCCAGGATGTGGATGAAAGGTGAAATTAGAACCTGGAGGAAAGGGGGTGGCCAGGGCCAAGGCTCTGGTCACTCTGACGCTTCCTTCCATTACAGGGCTGCTCCACTGCTGGGCTACCTACCCCAGGACCTCCTGGGGGCCCCAGTGCTCCTCTTTCTGCATCCCGAGGACCGGCCTCTCATGCTGGCCATCCACAAGAAGAGTGAGTTCCTCTCATCCTGCTCTCCTTCCCCTTGACCTCTGAGATCTCTGCTGGGGTGGCCTCTACCTTGCTCAGCTCTGTTTCTCACTGACCCCTACTTCATTTCTCATGCCCTTCAGTCCTGCAGCTGGCCGGCCAGCCCTTTGACCACTCCCCTATCCGCTTTTGTGCCCGCAATGGGGAGTATGTCACCATGGACACCAGCTGGGCTGGCTTCGTACATCCCTGGAGTCGCAAGGTGGCCTTTGTGTTGGGCCGCCACAAAGTACGCACGTAAGTGGGGAATGGCCTTACATGGCACTGGGGATGGGGTGGGAGGGTGGAGAGGGGAGACAGGACTGAACTCACCCTTGCCCACTCTACAGGGCACCCTTGAATGAGGACGTGTTCACTCCGCCAGCCCCCAGCCCAGCTCTGTCCCTAGACTCTGATATACAGGAGCTCTCAGAGCAGATCCACCGGCTGCTGTTGCAGGTAAAAATTGAGAGGTGGACACTGATGGGAGGTGTTTGAAAGGCAACAAAGAGAGTGAGAAACTGGTGTAGATATCTAACCCACTCTTTTCTCTACTACAGCCTGTGCACAGCTCCAGCCCCCCTGGGCTTTGTGGAGTTGGCCCTGTGGCATCCCCAGGTCCTCTTCATAGCCCTGGCTCCTCCAGTGATAGCAATGGGGGTGATGCTGAGGGGCCTGGGCCTCCTGCTCCAGTGAGTGACCCTCTTGTACTTCACCCCTCTGATTTCCCCTCTTCCTGTTCTCTCTGGATTCAAGATTGCAAGTCCTGGACCTTTTCCTTTTCCCCTCTTCCTTCTCTGCCCTGCTTTTTCCTCCTTGTCCTAGGTCTCCAAGCCCCCCCCCCCCCCCCCCGCATTGGACTTCCTTGTTTTATTGTGTCTTTGGGTTCTGGCATTGGCTAGGTGCTCCAATGCTCCCTGCTCCTTTGGTGTATCCCACAGGTGACTTTCCAGCAGATCTGTAAGGATGTGCATCTGGTGAAACACCAGGGACAGCAGCTTTTCATTGAGTCCCGGGCCCGGCCTCCACCCCGGCCTCGCCTCCCTGGTAAGCTGGTAATACTGTAGTTGGGGATGAGAAATGAGACTTGTGGCTCTCCTGACCCTCACCCCCAAAACATTTACCTTTTTCTGTCCTTGCCCCAGCCACAGGAACATTCAAGGCCAAGGCCCTTCCCTCACAGTCCCGAAACCCAGAGCTGGAGGCTGTCCCTGCTCCCATCCAATCCCCATTATCCTTGGCCCCTGAGGAGGCTGAGAGGAAAGAAACCTCCAGCTGTTCCTACCAGCAGATCAACTGCCTGGACAGCATCCTCAGGTTAGGCCCACCTGGCACCTTCTCCCTCAGCCCTGCCTCTGCTCCACCCAGGGCCCTGCCCTTATCCCCTCTGCTGGATTAATCATCAGGTACCTGGAGAGCTGCAACATCCCCAGCACGACCAAGCGAAAATGTGCCTCCTCTTCCTCCTGTACTGCCTCCTCAGCCTCTGATGATGACAAGCAAAGGACAGGTCCAGTCCCTGTGGGGGCCAAGAAAGGTAAAGACCCTGTGCATACCTGGCTCCCACTGCCCTGACCCACCTTGCTGTGTCCTTTTCCCCCTTCCCTGCCTTATGATCTCCAGACTCCTTCCTCCTGTCCCTCCTCCTCTTCTTGGGATCCCCCTCTCCTGACCTCACAGTGGGGTGGGGTGGTAACCGGTGACATCTCTCCGCACAGATCCACCGTCGGCATTGCTGTCTGGGGAGGGGGCCACTCCTCGGAAGGAGCCAGTGGTGGGAGGCACCCTGAGCCCGCTCGGCCTGGCCAATAAGGCAGAGAGTGTGGTGTCTGTCACCAGTCAGTGTAGCTTCAGCTCGACCATCGTCCATGTGGGAGACAAGAAGCCCCCGGAGTCGGGTATGGGCATGGAGAAAGGGGGGCAGTCCCTGGGCTCCACTTGGTCTCCCAGCCAGAGCTCCCTCCTGCTAGCCTTTCCCTTCCCCCTCCAACTCCGAATGGAGAGGAGGCTGCCCTAGTTTGGGGCTACTGCTGCTTTCTCTCTGCTGTCTGCCTGCTATCCTCTATCCTCTGCTGCATGCTCCTCCCCTTTTCTTCCTCTCTCTCTCTTTCTCTCCCTCTCTCTCTCTCTCTCTCTCTCTCTATATATATATATATAGATAGATATAGATATATAGATTTTTTTGGTACTGGGGATTGAACTCAGGACCTTGCGCTCTCGAGGCAGGCGCCGGAACCACTGAGCTAAATCCCCAGCCCTCTTCCTATATTCTTACTGTACAGTCTGGGGTAAAGTTGGGGGGGCTCAATTCTGAGGTGCTGATCACAGAGGGCAGAGGCAAAGAATGTTGAAGACTCCAAAAGGTCTTCAAAACATGTGTAGGAAGGCCAAGGGGTGGGCGTTCCTTCCAACAAGAATTGTAAAGGTGTCACCCCTGGGGGTTCTTGGCAGGGCAGTGGCTGTTGGAAGGGACTGAGTAGTTTGTGTCCTAGGACAGCTTTGTATGAGAGGAGGGTTCAGGGACAGCCCTCAGCAGAAAGGTGGTCAGGAGATGCACACAGAGCCCAGGGCTGGCTGTGGGGCAGAGGCAGGGGGACTAGGCTGTTGGCAGGGAGGGTGTGCTGTGGATATGTTGAGTCCTGAGATGCTGATGACCTTTCCCCATCTCACCTTCCTTAGACATCATCATGATGGAGGACCTGCCTGGTTTAGCTCTGGGCCCAGCCCTCAGCCCGGCCCCCAGCCCCACAGTAGCTCCTGACCCAGCCCCAGATGCCTACCGCCCAGTGGGCCTGACCAAGGCCGTGCTGTCCCTGCACACACAGAAGGAAGAGCAAGCCTTCCTCAGCCGCTTCCGAGACCTTGGCCGGCTACGTGGACTTGACGGCTCTTCCACAGCCCCCTCGGCCCCTGGGGAACGAGGTAGCCTCCTGGGGGTTCCCTGAGCTGTCCTCTGCCCAGTCTAGGGCCAGACTGTCAGGGATGGGCCTTGAGGGAAATGTTTCTGCTCCGGGGGACCCAGGCTGGTGCTGTTTCTGCTACTAGGGCTGTACCTAGGGGCAGGTCCCTTGGTAGCCTCTCCCCTGCTAGGCATTTAGATGGGTAGTCAGAGGTACTCTATTCCAGGTAAGCTACTTCAGGCCTAGCCTAGGGGCAGGGGCAGGAAGTATGCTCCCCTAGGACTCAGTTGTCGCTGATCAAGAGATCTACATAGACTCTGGGCCAGCTCTGGGTGGGGTCAGGGTTTCAAGGAGAAAAGGAAGACACCCCCTCCAGCTGCCCAAGGGAGGCCCTGTACAGGTGTAGAGGTAGATACAGAACTCCAGACTTGGGCTCATGTTTTCCTGACCACCTCTTCACTCTGTTGTGAGCTAGGCAGATCACAGCCTTGACTGGCAGGAGTATCCAGGCTGACAGTGCCTGCAGGATTTTGGCAGATGGACTGGAACCGCCTACCTGTTCACCGGACCCACTCTGCCTCTTCCCATCTGCCAGTGCCTCTGCCTCTGCCTTTTGCACATGTCCATCTTGACCCCTCATGTACCCTTGCCTTTTTCTGGCTCCTTTCTCAATAAACCCCCTATCCCTGGCTGCTGTGATTCTTTCATGAAGGTGCCGCCACCTCCTGAGTCCCCTGTGTTCTGTGTGGGCTGAGAATTCTCTCTGGGGCCTTTGCCTGCCCTCTCCCTGGTCACAGTGTCAGGACAGTTCGGGTAGTAGGGACACTAATACCCAGGCTGAGTCCCGCACTAACCTACTCTCTCCCTACAGGCTGCCACCATGGCCCCACGCCCCCCAGCCGCCGACACCACTGCCGATCCAAAGCCAAGCGCTCACGCCGCCATCAGACCTCCCGTGCTGAAGCCCCCTGCTATGTCCCCCACCCCTCACCTGTACCGCCCTCTGGCCCCTGGCCACCCCCACCAGCCACTACCCCCTTTCCAGCAGTGGTCCAGCCCTACCCCGTCCCAGTGTTCTCCCCCCGAGGAGGTCCCCAGCCTCTTCCCACTGCCCCCACCTCTGTGCCCCCTGCCACCTTCTCTACCCCCCTGGTAACCCCAGTGGTGGCCTTGGTGCTACCTAACTATCTGTTCCCCACCCCATCCAGCTATCCCTATGGGGTACACCAGGCCCCTGCTGAGGGGCCCCCTACCCCTGCCTCCCACTCGCCTTCACCGTCCCTGCTGCCACTGCCCCCTAGCCCCCCGCACCACCCGGACTCCCCACTGTTCAACTCAAGATGCAGCTCTCCACTCCAGCTTAATCTGCTGCAGCTGGAGGAACCCTCCCGCACTGAGGGGGGTGCTGTTGCAGGGGGCCCTGGGAGCAGTGCTGGGCCCCCCCCACCTTCTGCAGAGGAGGCTGCGGAGCCAGAGACCAGACTGGTGAGCACTGAACTCATGCACTCCGATACCAGCCCCTCAGCCCCTGCCCCTCTTGCACCTGGTGCTACTTCCTGCCTTGGAGTCTCCTGGGCTGGTGTCTCACCTCCTGGAGACTGTAGTGGGGTGGGAGACCCCAGCTAAATTTCTGGACAAGGCAGAAATTGGCTTCCTCCTCTATGAAGAGACAGTCCTGTCTGTCCCTTAGGTGGTGAGGACATCCCAGTAACTTCTGAGAGCATATCTGCCACTTGGAGAGGGTCCAGCATCATATTCCTCTTCATTAGCTCTCCTGTGGCCCCCTGTCATGGAGTAGGGAGCAGAGATCGTTGGGTCGGGTGTGCCTCCCTCACCACTGCCCCATGGAAGTGGCTGAAGGGAAGCTCAGGTGCTGACTCCTCCACCCTCCCTGTTCTGCTCCCCTTCCACTCCTCTTCAGGTGGAGGTAAATGAGTCCTCTAATCAGGATGCGCTGTCTGGCTCCAGTGACCTGCTGGAGCTGCTGCTCCAAGAGGACTCTCGCTCTGGCACAGGCTCTGCAGCTTCAGGCTCCCTGGGCTCTGGCTTGGGCTCCGGGTCTGGCTCAGGCTCCCATGAGGGTGGCAGCACCTCAGCCAGCATTACTCGTGAGTGCCCATCTCTCAGCGCTTATAGGGTAGGATAGTGACTGGGGAGTTGGGGGCCAGGCACCATCTTGGTTGAGCCTGCTGTGTTGGACACATGGCCTTTGAGAGTGGCCTGGTGAGGCCTTGGGGTGGGCAGTGTGGGTGGCTGGTTCCATTGGCCTACCCTCTGCTCCATAGGCAGCAGTCAGAGCAGCCACACAAGCAAGTACTTCGGCAGCATTGACTCTTCAGAGGCTGAGGCTGGGGCTGCTCAGGCCCAGGCTGAGCCAGGGGACCAGGTCATTAAGTATGTGCTCCAGGATCCCATCTGGCTGCTCATGGCCAATGCTGACCAGCATGTCATGATGACCTACCAGGTGCCCTCCAGGTGAGAAGTTCAGAGGCGGCCTCTGCTGCCCTGTCAGAGGTAGTAGTAGGGAAGCTGGCCTATCTTTGCTGCCCAGATAATTTGGGGTTCTCTTTTTCTGGGTCTGGCTCTGAACTGGAGGTTCCCGTCCTACCTTCAGCCCCTTGGAGCACTCTCTTTATGTCTCCCAGGCTAACAGGTTTCCTGATCTTAGATGCCTCCTTGAGTTCAGGGGAAGAGCAGGAGGCCCAGTGGGTGGGAACTGGTGGTAGAGGAAGAAAGAAGGCCAGCCTCATGGGTTCTGGCTCTGGCCCTGGATCCCAGCTTCTGCCTCCTTCCTCACATAGGGACATGGCTTCAGTGCTGAAGCAGGACCGGGAGCGGCTCCGGGCCATGCAGAAGCAGCAGCCTCGGTTCTCAGAGGACCAGCGGCGGGAACTGGGTGCTGTGCACTCCTGGGTCCGGAAGGGCCAGCTCCCTCAGGCCCTTGATGTGATGGTGAGAAGTTTGGGACACGGGAAGGAGAAATAATTGAGTTCAGGTTCAAGGGACAGAGGCTAAGGGCTAGATTGCAATGTCCGTGGATCATTAATTCTGAAGGACATTAATCCCACTAGATTTTCTGCTTGATTATGTAGTATTGAACCACAAGAGTTTTTGCAGAACTTTCCGGGGCCATCCTATGCTGATGTGCCCTGTGACTATTCTATAGGCAGTCTTAATAGAACGTATGCAGCATTTTCCAACCTTGTTGGACCCCAAGGATATCTGTTTGCCTTTTTTTTTGTTTTTGAGACAGGGTCTTGCTATGTAGTTCAGGTTGGCCGTGCACTCACTATGCTTTTTTTGGGGGGGGGGGGGATACTGGGGATCGAACTCAGGCCCCTCGTGCCTGCTCAGCAGGCGGCGAAACCACTGAGCTAAATCCCCGTCCCCTTATGGACTCACTATGTATCCCAGGCTGACTTTGAACTTGGAGCAGTGCTGTTGCCTCAGCCTCCTGAGTGCTGGGGTTATAGGCATGCATCACCACACCTGGCTTTTTTCTTGGAAAAAAGTTGAGTAGCAATTTTAGGTTAATAGCAAAATTGCGAGGATTGTACTCATTTCCCAAATGTCCCCTCAACGCACATTTGCATAGATTTCCCCCAGTATCAGCATCCATCACCAGAGTGGTGCATTTGTTAATAATTAATGAACCTACATTACCTAATGTCTATAGATTACATTAGGATTACATTAGGGTTCATTCTTGGGCTTGTACCTTGTATGGATTTGGACAGAAGTGACATATCTACTGTTGTTATCACACAGTAATCTTCCATGAATCCCAGGAAACCACTCTTTTTTTTTTTTTTTTTAACTGTCTCCATTGCTTTGCCTTTTCCAGTTTGACTTGTTTCTTGGGAGTACATTTTGGGAAGCATGGTTGGGGTTGGGTAGGGTGGGAAGCTGATCTGGCAGCTTCACAGTAAGGACTTTGCCTGATTCACTTATATCCCCTTTCTCCTTCCAAGGCCTGTGTGGACTGTGGTAGCAGCACCCAAGACCCTGGCCACTCTGATCATCCACTCTTCTCAGAGCTGGACGGACTGGGGCTGGAGCCCATGGAGGAGGGTGGAGGCGAGGGTGAGGGTGGTGAGGAGCCTGGGGCCCAAGCTGAGGCCAAGGTCTCAGGCTCTCAGGACTCAGCCATGGAGGAGGAAGAACAAGGTGGGAGCTCATCCAGTCCAACCTTACCAACTGCAGAAAATGGCACCAGCTAGACTCCATTTGGGGGCCACTTCCTGGAGTCCTTGAGAGGCTTCCTTTTCCCATGTTGCTACTTGCACGTGGCTGGACCAACTAGTAGGAAACTGCCCCAGCTTCTCCCACTGTAGGGGCCAGGATCCCCATCACCAGCCCAGGATCTGGGGGCTGCTTCTGGCCTCTTAGGGAACAGCAGGTGGAAATTTTCAGCCCAGCCCAGAGGAGTGTCCCCTCTTACTCCTAGTGAAGAGTCCTTTCCTCTGGGTAAGGTTGCTGATAAGCTGCTGAAATGGTCTCTAAATCCCAGCTGAGCCTGAATCTGGTCCCCAGGGTTGGGGCTGTACTTATTTATTGGAGGAGACAGCTAGCTCTCCTGCTTCTTCCCCAGATGGGAGAAGGGGAGTCTGGGGCCCAAGCAGAATCCAAGGGTTTGAACCCCTAGCTGCTCCAGGGTGGAGGAGGTTGGTGGACCATGGAGTCCCTGGTGCTGCCCCTCAGGTGGGACCCAGGCGTTCTCAGCTCTACCCTCTACCAATGGCATTTGTGTTTTTGATATTGTGTCTGTTATTTTTTAATACAAAAAGAAAAAAATACCCAGGACTTTGTGGAATGAAGTGTTTGGGGTTTGGGTGATGGGAGGAGTGCCCCTGCTTCCAGAAAGGTAGTGGGGTGGGCACTTCCACCCCCTGATAAGTCCCATTCATCTGCTATCTCCCTTTCAGCCAAAGGCCTTTCTGTGCCTGCTAATTCTACACCTGATTGAAACCCTACTCTCCTCTCTACTATCACCTCAGCCGGGTTTGTTCTGGAAGGAGAGATGAGCCCACTTGTCCTTAGGGGCTTGTGCAAGGGCAAACTCCAGGTGCGACTCTAGGGGGAAAAGCCCGCTAAACCTTTCGGTGCCATGAGGCAGTAGAGGGTGTTTAGATTTGCTTTTTAGCTTCTTGCTCAACACACAGGAGATGGTCCTTCAGCAGGGCAGCCTAGGTAGCAAAGGCACAGGGAGGTGCACCATTCATTTGAGTTGACCTGAAAAGGTGTTGCGGAAGAAAGGGAACGCAGAGCATCAACCTCAATGCTCGGAATCTGAAGGGGAACGGGGAACCTGGGAAGGGCAGTCACTGAAGACCTTGCAGGCTTTACTTAGTAATTATTAATAGTAGTGGTTATCACACACTGGTGCATAACAACAGCTGATCCAGCACAGGTGGGAGGGTACTCTCAGCCGGTGCCGTGGCTTAGCTGGTTAAAGCGCCTGTCTAGTAAACAGGAGATCCTGGGTTCAAATCCCAGCGGTGCCTAGGCTTGTTAGGAGAGGTAAATTATTGCTGGGGTACACCCACCTCTGGAAGGATTCATGTCGCACCTTAAACGATTCTTCTTCTTACCAAGCCAAGCTCACTCCTTCGATGTTTGTTGTAGTGAACTTTTAGTATGAATTTGGAGGCAAACATTCAGTTTGCTTTCAAGATGGGAAGCAGACATCTTATGACGTAGTCCTCAGAGGCATGGGGAAAATGGACTCTGGTTTTGGCTTTCGCTCGTTTTGTTGGGGCCGGACTGCTGTTTGGTGAAAAAAGAGGTGGGAAACCGCAGCTCCAACCCGAAGATGCGCGCATGCGCAGAGGTGGGGCTGGCAGGAGGCGGGCACATTGATAGGCAGCTATAGTTGTGCAGGCCCTAAACTGCACGCGGCTGTGATGGCCGAGTGGTTAAGGCGTTGGACTCGAAATCCAATGGGGTCTCCCCGCGCAGGTTCGAATCCTGCTCACAGCGTTAGTAGTTTTGGTAACGGATATTGCTGCCTCCAGAGGAAAAAGCCAGTTTATTTTATAGTTCTTTCTTTGGAGAGAAGCTGAGCATTACTGTAAAGACCGCTTGAACTCGACCAGCGCGCCAGCGCCCTCTTGCGAGGTTCAACCTCCTGCTGATCTGTAAAAGCCTTTTTACTGACAATTTCGATTCATAGCTCTACCAAACTCAGGTGGTTTCTAGGTGCTGCTCAGCAATCATATTACCTTCCCCTAATCCATTCACCCTCCTACTCTCCTATACAACTATTTCATTCCTTTTTTAAAAAAACCCGCACAACATACATCCCCCCTCTATCTTGCCTTAGATTTTCTTCCTGTTTCATTGGGAAAATAGAGCATTCCAAAGTTTCCTTCTGACACCCACATACACAACTGCCTGAGCCTGTGACCACACACTCTTCTTCCCCCCTTCGCTATTGTAGGTCATTTCCACCAAACTATGAACAACCTCTACACTGTAGATTCCACACCCCCTCTGGCTTACTCAAAGACAGTGTTCTTTTTGCTAAATATTCACATTTTCCTCTACTGGATTATTCCCAGCAGCTGAAACAGTGTAATTTCTCCACTTAGAACAAACAAAAGCCGACCGTGGCGGCGCACAGTTGTAACCTCTGCACTACAAGGCGAGACCCTGTCTCAAAACACAAAAAGCAAAAACGAAAAAAGGACAAACAAGACCACAAGAGCAGTCTGTTACGGCTTAAATGTGTCCCCTAAAATGTCATACCATTTTTTTTTTTTTTTTTTGGTAACGGGGAATTGAACTCAGGACCTTGAGCTTGCAAGGCAGGCGTGGCACCACTAAGCAAATTTCTATTCTTTATAAATTACCCCATCTGTGGTACTGAGTCCTTGAAAGACAGAACAGATTAAGAAACTACCTTGAGCCAGGCGTGGTGTTGCACACCTGTAATCCCAGCACTCAGGAGGCTGAGGCAGGAGAATTCCCTCAGCTACATACTGAGACCCTCTTTCCAAAAAAACCCAAACCAACTCCCCCCACCCCCCACCCCCCAAAAAAACCCTACCTTGACCCCACACTCTTCTATTAATCTATTTTCTGTGCTCCCCTCTATAGCAGGCTTGAGTTATTTTATACTCAGAGCCTCTCCACCAAGGTATCCTCATGGCCATAAAAACCATCCTTGTTAAGGTTACCAAATGCCCATCACGTTGCTAAAACCACTGATTACTAGTTAGCAGTGGTTGACAGATGCTTGTCATCTCCTCTTCAAAGCCAAGAGAGAGGCTGTGATCCCAGCACTAAGGAGATTGAGACAGGAGGCCATGAGTTCAAAACAGCCAACCTGAGTTCAAGGTTGGCTTGGACTACATAGTAATCTATCTCATTAAATGGAAAAGGCATTCATTCTTTCAATTGGTTAGACTAAAACTTTTAGAATCATCTCTGATTCTTCTCTTTTCAGTCAACATTGAATCAAGTCAGCAATTTCTTTTAAAAATATGTCAAAAATTGGCTACTTGTCACTATCTTCATTCCTACACCCTGGTCTAAACACTGTGGCCCTAAATTACTGTAGTATTTCCTAAATTATTTCCTGACTTCTACCCCCTTCCCCTTTTGGTCAGGGGGATTGAACCCATCCCCTTGGCATGGAGCTACACCCTCAGTCATTTTATTTTTTATTTTGAGACAAGGTCTCACTGAATTGCTAAATTATCCTGGCTGGGTTTGCAATCTTTTTGTCTCAGCCTCCTTTTTCTCTCTCTCTCTCTCTCTTTTTTCTTTTAGACAGGGTCTAGTATAATCCAGACTGGCCTCAAATTGACGATGTTTCTGCCTCAGCCTCTTGAGTGCTGGGACTACAGGTGTGTGCCACCACACCCAGCTCAGGTTTCCATTCTCCTTCCTAGTTCCTTTTCAGGTTTTTTGGGTTTTTTTTGCAAGTTAGTAGAGTTTTTATCAAAAATAGGGAAATAGTAAGAAGAATAGCTCCTGGATTTCCAGGAAGGGTCCTCAGTGGGTGGCCCCATGCTACTCTTAATACCTTGGGCATTAAAACATAAATCACATGAACCAAAGTAAACCACTCCTCCTTTACAAACAATTAGATTCTGTCATTCCTCTTCAAAATTTTTCAATGGATGTGTCAATATAAATTCATGGTTTTAATGTGTATAGATATAAAAATAAATGTATACCACCACACACACCACACACACTCCCATTTCCTAACTCTGTCCATTGAGTGAGCCTAGAAGCAATGAAACTCCAGTAGCAAAAAGCACTCGAAGAGCCCAGACGTTGTCTACTAAATACCACTCTCTACTAAAATGAACCGGGCCTCCTTAGAGAAAAGGCTGAATCTAGGACAGGTGCTAGGGAATTATCAGATTATCTTGGAATATTTTGTTGCACCAGAATGTAAAGAAGTGCTCAAAGAGCAGAGTATTTGGAAACAAAATCAAAAACAAAAAACAGGAGCTAGGGGCTACAGCCAAAAGGGCTCCCACTGGCTAAGTCTGGGACAGTCTGAGAACTAAAATAAATGATGATTGTGATGGATTATAACTCACTGGATAAACCAGGTGTGATGACACATAGACCTGTAATCCCAGTGCTTGAAAGGCTGAGGCAGGAAGATTGCTGGGAGTTCAAGGCCAGCCTGAACTACATAAGACTGTCTCAACCACCCCCATCATTGAATAAAAGATGAATCCAAAGTTTTTACCAATATAAAATCATAAATAAGATTTGGAAAGGAAAATTTCTTCTTATAGCAAACTGCCAAATAATTACTATAGAAACAGTGGTTAAGTTAGAAAGCAGCAAGAGATTCCAAACTAGTGAGTGAACTTTTGATGGAGTATGAGTAGTAAAAAGTCTCTGTCTTTCCATGAGTTATATATTAGTTACTAGTTAGGTATGATGGCCCACACCTAGAGTTCCAGCACTCTCTTAGGTTGAGACAGCAGGATCCCAAGTTCAAACTCAGCCTGGGAAACTCAGCAATTTAACAAGCCTCTGTCTCAAAATAATAAAAATAAATGAATAAATAAATAAATAGGGCCCCAGATTGTAGATCAGTGTGAAGACCTTGGGATCAATCCCTAGCACTATTCACACACACACACACACACATGCACACAACATAGAAACCTGGTGAATACCATTTTAACCATGGCAACGAGGACAATATCTGAGCTTTGGGATGAACTGACGTGTATCTTCTGATGCACTGAGAAAACATTTTTGTGTTGATGGTCCTACCAGAAATGCATGAACTCAGTAACTTGAATCTCACCTTGATGAAGTATCAGAGAAACCAACTTTTTTTTCTTTTCTTTTCTTTTTTTTGTTTGAGAGAGGTTCTCTCTATGTAGTTCAGCTTGGGCTTGCACTCAATATGTAGGCCAGGCTGGCTTCTGGTGTGTGCCACCATGCCTGATTTGAGAAACCAAATGAAAGAACAAAAGGGCCCTATATTTCAATTTTACCTCCAAATGATTTAGACAATAAATATTTTGCATCCATATACTAGTTGGCAAGAAGTGATAAAGCAAATGGAGCAAGTGCAGACACTCAGTGGACCTGAGAAAGGAGTACACAGGGGTTCCTTGTACCATTGCTGCTTTTCTGAAAGTTTGAAATGACATAAAAATTTCCAAAATAAAATGAGACCAAAACAGTGGCAGAAGGACCCTTTCATGACTTCTCATTTTACTGAAGGCTAAATCCTTACCACACCCAGAAGGTCCTATCTGATCTTCTCCCACCATGTCACCTCCCACCACTCCTGCACTGCCACCTCCCTCCCAGCCTGCCCAGCCCACTTACTGCTCCCTGTTCCCTTGACAAGCCAGGCTCATTGCCAGCTTGAGGCCTTTGTGGTAGCAGTTCCTTCTGCCTGGCATGCGCTGCCCCACCCTGCCCCCTCACTCTTAACTTCCACCTTCTCAAGAATCCTTCCAGAACCAGACCATCCAAGATGACACTTCTCACTTTCTACTCCTTTCTCTACTTTGTTTTTCTCCATAGCACTTACCATCTGCCAAATGCTATTTTTTTCATAAATTCTTTTATTGGTACCTTTTAGGTATACAACATGTTTACATTTATCATTGGGTGCTTGTATCTGTGCATGATGTATCTTGGTTCTTAATTTTTCCGTATTACCTGTGCGCCCTTCCCCCGCTCCACCCTGCCCTATTTACATAGACTTTGTTTCCATTTTTTCCTGTTGCCAAATGCTATTTTTAATTAATTAAATTTTTTTGTGGTATTGTGCATTGAACCAGGGGTATTTGACCATTGAGCTACATCCTGAACCCTTTTTATTTTTTATTTTGAGATAGGGTCTCCCTAAATTGTCCGTGCTGGCTGTGAACTTGCAATTCTTTTGCCTCAGCTTCCTGAAGAGCTGAGATTACAGGCAAGCGTCATGGTGCCTGACCAAATGATTGCTTTGTATAATGTATGTTGACTGTGTCCTCTATAAGAAGGCATCTCTGTAAGGACAGGTACCATTGCCTGTTTTGTTGGAGATTGGTTATATTGCTCTGGAGGGCACAGAAAGAGCCTAGCTCACAGTATTCACCCTATAAATATGTGCTGAAGAATGAATGTCAAGTTTCTGAGTCCTTTGTATCTGGGGGGCTCACAGCTTCTCAAGTGCTTTTGCTGTCTCTTCTCTTCTGCCTGGGTCTGTGCTTCTTCCTCTCTTTAGTGTCAATAGCCAAGGTGTACAGGGAACCAGGACCTGAGAGCTTGCCTGTGGCCTACAGATCTGTCAGGCTTCTTTCCTTGGCCTGGGAGCCTGGTCCTCCTACTTTCTAGCCTCCAAGGCCCCAGGACTCAACTCTTCAGGAACTCTCCTACCCAGAGGGTCCCAAAAAGCCAGGCTTCCTTTTTTTTTTTTTTTTTTGGTACCAGGGATCAAACTTGGGACCTTGTGCTTGCAAGGCAGGCAGCAGAACCACTGAGCTAAATCCCCTGCCCAGCCAGCCTTCCTTTTGAAGAACTGAAGAGAGGAAGCAAGCTTGGAACCCAGGCTTGGAGAGAAGTCAGTGGGAGAGGGGAAGCTGAGACTCCACCAGCTGTGCCTTCTGTGTTCCTCAGGGTCCACCTCCCTGGAGGCCTCCAAAGGCAGATCAAGAGCTCCTCTCTTGCCAGGGCAGCCAACAAGAGGCTGGAGGCCCAGCTGCCTGGACATGCAGTGTTAGGCTACTACATGCACAGTCATAACCAGAATGCTCACAAGCATAGGCCCTCACTGACACAGAAGTGCATGAACTGCATGGAGAATTCTACACCTTCAGACACAGACTGGTGACAGGGGTAGGCATACTCTCACAGGCCATACCTACACCAGAGCAATGAAGTGCAGAAAATCAACCAATCTGGGGGCAGCTCTAGGTTTTAAGGGCCTGAAGATTCTGCAATTTTTTTTTGAAATTAAAAAAAAATACAGTTTTATTTAGAGTGAAATAAGAATACAACAATTTACAGGGCCAGGGATTTAGCTCAGTGGTTCCGGCACCTGCCTCACAAGCCCAAGGTCCCGAGTTTGATCCCCAGTACCAAAAACAAACAAACAACCCCCCCTCAAAAAAACCAACAATTTACAAATGTGAAAAGCTGACAAGCCAGAATTGGTGGTGCACTCCTGTCACCCAGCACTCTGGGTGGCTGAGGCAGGAGGATCACAAATTGAGCCCAGCCTGGGCAACTTAGTGAGACTCTGTTTCAAAAAATAAAAAGGGCTGTGGATGTAGCTCAGTGGTAGAGTGCTTCTGGGTTCAATTCCCAGTATTGGAAGTAAGATAATGATAATAATAATTTAAAAAATAAGCTGGATGTGGTAGCACACACCTGTAATTTCAGAACTCTGGGAGGGTGAGGCAGGAGGATCAGAAGTTCAAGCCCAGGCTGGGCAACTTAGAGACTTAGCAGGCAAGATCCTGTCTCAAAATAAGAAATAAAAAAAAAAAAGTCAAATGCCATGAAGTCCAGAAAAATAACTTACTAGTACAAACTGCCTACCCACCTCTGTAATACTTTCCTCAGAGTAGCTATTGGCTCTGTATATTTCATATCTTGTTGCTCTTCTACCACCTAGGTACTTACAGTACCAAGAGCTACTGGACACTGTCCTATCCCATGTGCTGTGCCCCCTCACAACTGGGAGCAGTGACAGTGGTTTTCTGGAAGCCCCTCCTACACAAGGTGGCTAGGCTAAGGTAAGGACATGAAAATGACTGAAAATCATGGAAATATATTCCAAGAAACTGCAAATCCAACATCTTCCCAACTCACCTCCATAACCAGACCAAGTCCAACACATGGAGAAAGCACAATGGAGAAGCAGCTAGAGGAAGTGGAGAGACCACTTGGGTGAATATAGCTAATGTTTGGGAAATGTACAGAAGCCCCTGGCCCTGTGAACACCTGGCGGGCACCTTCTCCAGGGTCTGTGTAACTAAGAGTTCCTGGGCTTCATTAGCTTCTTGGTGATTTGGCCTGTGCACTTGATTGAAATTCTTAGTCCACATCTCAAATGGGCTCTCATTTGAAAGCCTATTCTCATAGCCCAGGTAGCTTTTCTACCTCTCAAAATGAGTATTTCATGTCTTTCTCCTCAAATGATTTGTGGCACCTTTCATGCTGGTAGGAATACCCAAGATCCTCCGGGTGGGTAGATGCCAGTGCAGGTGCAGAAAACAGCTTCAGCAGCAGGGACGACCCCTCACCTATAGTGAGGGGGACAGGTGTGGGCCAGCAGGTATGGGAAAGAAGCCTCTCCTGAAGAACAGTGGACCAGGGTAGGACACCAAAGTTATTATTATTTTATTTTTAGGAGATGCTGGGGGGGTGTCTCATGACCTTGAACTTCTGGGCTCCAACGATCCTTTTGCTTCAGCCTTCTAGAGCATCTGGGACTATAGGCCAGTACCACTGTGCCTAGCTCCAAGGTGATCTTTGAGACAGAAGTCAGAGAATATAGCTTTCCTGGTGAAGATTCCCATTGCACTTAGACTGAAACCCAAGCGCCTTAGGAGCCTCTGTGGCCTTGTGTGATAAGCCAGGGCTCTCCCATCTTATTTCCACCACCCCCAAATTCTTTAGCCTAGATTCCTTGGCCCTCTAGCTCCTACCAGCAAAGCTTTTTCCTATCTCCTGGCACTTTTTTTTTTTTTTTTTGTACCCGGGATCGAACTCCGGACCTTGTGCTTGTGAGGCAGGCAGCAGCACCCAGGCCCTCTCATGGCATTTAAAGCTCCTGTCTCTTTTACTTGGACTCCTGGCTGGCAACACTGGGCCCCATTATCACGTCTTCCTAGAAGCTCTCTCTGACCACTGGGACTACAACAGCACTAAGCTCTATTGAGGCCAGGAAGGAATGGCCTGCTGGTTCACGTGGGTGGAACTCCAGCCTTATAACCATTTGAAATTATCCTGTAATATTTTCTGTCTTTGGTCTGGGCTTCAGGAATGCCCAGACCGGATGTGCCTTCTACATCTCAGCATACAAGATATAACCAGTGTATAAGATGCACTGAATAAATATCAACCTAGTGAGTAAATACAGCAGCTGCCCCCACAGACAGACAGATGCCCAAGTTGTTTGGTAATTTCCTTCTGGGACCATTGTCAAGGCTTAGAGCCGAGAGGAGAGCATGGCCTGTCATTGACACAATCCCGACAGAGATCCAAACTGTGGCCCAGATGAAACAGGCGAAAAGAAGTAGGAGACAGAAACCAGGGACAGAGATACAGACCCAGAGATAGAGACCAAGATACAGTAAGACTCGGATTCAGCCTCGGCGGCGCCCCTGAGACCTGGGCCTCAGCCGGAGACAGTGCCGGGAGCGGGGCGGAACGAGCCGAAAGAGAGCAGACGCCGGCGCAGCGAGTGTGGTACCCGCACCGCCCGCGTCCCCTCGCACAAGTGGCCTCGGCAGGTGGCCGCGCGTCCTCCCGCCCGCCCACCAGCGCGACACGTGCTGGATCAAAGCGACCGGGAAGGGGCGGGGCGGGGAGGTGTCGGGAACCGGGAGGTGCGAGAGCGCGAGCTTCCCAGGGGTTGGCAAGAGCGTGGGAGCGCAGAGTCCTGGCGGTGACAGAGACCAGAGAGACCCAGAGACATCTCGGAGACACCCAGAGACATACAGGCAGAGAGATAGGAAACAAGTCGAGAGATTCGAGAGGGCCAGACTTGGGGCGCAGAAGCAGGGGCCGTAGAGGCCACTAAAGATCCAGAGCAAAGAGACCCCCAAGCAGCGGCCGCTAAGAGATCTGGTAAGAATGTGAGCGACGGAGTCACCAAAAAGCCTTCAGAGACCCGAAAGATGGCGAGACAAAAAAGGCCCAGCCCCATGGGAAAAGGAAGTGCGCTTTGGAGAACAGAAAATAAGAGGGAGAGGAAGAGAGGTGGAAAGAAGAGCAAGGGATTTTGAGTGTGGAGGGCGGGGAGAACTCCTCCCCGCCGAGAGTCGAGAGGACCCCCGGGGCAGAGATCCGAGTGCGGCGTCCTTTCTCAGGGTCACGCCTGTGGAGGTGCGGGCCAGGGTTGGAGGGAGGGCTGTGGAGGCTGCAGGACCTCGGGGTAGGAGCAGGGGCATGCGGGGACCTAAGAAATCAGGGTCTAGATCCGAAGCTTCCAACTTTACAAGAGCTAAAACGCTACACTTATCACTAGGTAGAAATGTTGAAACAAAAACGCCATATTAGAAGTATGGTTAAATGAATTTTTTCTTCTTTAAAAAGGAAAGCGGAAAAAAAAAAAAAAAAAAGGTAAGCGAAAGAAAAGCAAGAGCTGCATTGGCCGGGAATCGAACCCGGGCCTCCCGCGTGGCAGGCGAGAATTCTACCACTGAACCACCAATGCGAGACATAGAAGACTGTTCTATAGTACTAACTTTGTATGAGTCTGAGGCTAACTCGCCTAGGCAGAGGGCTGAGATCTCATGCCCAAGGAAAGGATGGCCCTCAACGGTTCACGTGGGTGGAGCACCAGGTCATTCTTCCTCTCGCCTGGATCCGGCCACCCGGCCATAAAGTTACTCCATATGGCCAGGGGCGGCCCCACACCCGGGTGCGAACAGCCCAGGCCCCAGAGCCTCGCGTGCAGGTGAGAAAAACTCAACTCGAGCCCAGGTTCCCAAGGAGGGGGGCGGTGGGGGCTGCTGAGCCCACACATCTGCCCTCCCATTTGGCGGAGGTAGGGGAAGTGGGATGTGCTGGGGGCCCTGATCCCAAATGGGAACCCCCTTCTCAAGATCTGGGGCCCTTCAGGTTTGGGCTTTGGCAAGGCAGTTTTTTTTCCCCTGCGAAAAAAACTAAGGTGTTCAGGGGGCGCAGGAAGGGCTTGGAGGAAGCCCCACTTGTCTCTGACTCCACAACTATCTTCTGTCTCGGTTTGTAACCCTGTCTTTCTGTCCTTGTCCGTGGCACTCTTTGTCCCATTAAATCTCTGATTTATTTTCTCAGGCACTTCGTCCTGAAGTTACCGAGTGTTCACGCATCCTTTTGCAGAGGGTCATGCTCTTGGTTTGAGGTGGGTGTTGATCCCTTTTTTGGATCCCTCTTTTGCCCCTTTAGAAAAACTGCCTGCTCCCTGCTCGCCTCCAGTTAGGAAGGGCCTCCAACCGCCAGCAACAGGGGCACCCTGTGTGAGGTTTCCCATTAGCTGCGTTCCTGCGTTAAGTTTTGAACCAAATATTTGTAAGTAGAAAGATCTTTCTACTCCGACTCGGGTTTTAAAGATTTGATCCTTCTTCCTTGAAGCTCCCCTTGCTCCCCCTTAGTCCAGTCATCTTCAAGGAAATCCTTTTCCCGGTGCACCTACTCCCTTTGCTTTTAAAATAGCACCTTGACGACACATCGCCCTTCCACTAGATCTGCAGGGATGAGGTGGACCTCTCCTGCCTTCCTCAGTTTGAACTGTCCAAACCTAGATCAGGGCCACGTGCCCACAGCCAGCACGCAGTTGGTGGGGGAATAGAACAGTGCGCCTCTTCCACCACCAGGCAGAGCCCCAGTTGAACCAGGCCAGCACCCTTGGGTTGCAGTTATCCCTATACCGAGTGGGAAGGGAATTTGGGTAGACAATTTACAGTATTTAGCCTGGAGGCTGAGGGGTGCTAATTTTATTTCCGTGTTAGTGAGGGTACAGTGAACATCCAAGAAAGTGCAATTCTAGGAAAGCTCTCTGAATTTCACCTCTGAGTTTAGTCCCCAAACACTTAAACTCTATCTCCCCATAACATTTCTCCTTCTTTCAGCTGTGTCCCGCTTCATTATACAGCCTTATGGTCCTTAAACCAGCCGGTGTCCATTCGGCCCTCACTTCCCACACTCTCAGGCCAATTCCTCTCCTTCCCCTCCCCCCCTTCACCCCTCGGCTTTCCGGGAGCCTCTTGCGGGGTCCCGGCCCCGCAGGATCCAGGTGCGTGCCGAAGGGGGCGGAGCCGTGGCTTATCCCTCCTACCCCGGCGCGGCGGGATATAAGGACCAAGGCGAGCGGACCCGGTCCGCGCCAGGGTCTGGAGGAGCAATGGTCACCCGGGATAGAGCTGAGAATAGGGACGGCCCCAAGGTGAGAGGCGGGAGGGGAGGGAGCAGAGGTCCTTGGTCCGGCCTGGGAACTTGGGCCCTGACACCGTGGATCAAGGGTGAAGATGGGGAAGCAGGGCTGAAAGGGGAGAGGTCCCCGGGGTGGAGAGGATCCAAGGAGCCAGGCGCTGGAGAGGAAGCTGCAAAGTTTGATGAAGAAAGGGACAGGGTCAGAGCAGGACCTGCGAGAGCGGCGGAAGCAGAGGTCTAGCGGCTTGGGTAATGCGGTGCCTTAAGGGGGCGTGGGGAAGGAGGGGACCAGAATTTCAGTAAAATAAGCAAGAGGGAGCCAAGGAAGGAGGCTGGGAGAGGGGGGAAAATAGAGCCCGGGCCCTAGTTCCACTAGGGCTGTGAGCCAGAGCTGGCCCAAAGTAGTCTTCATAGGCGGCCTTGGGGCTGGGTTCCCGAGGTCTGAGACCCCATGGAAGACTTTGGTAAGAGCAGTGGAGAAGGGGGACTGCCTAGACCGCTTTGAAGGAGAAGAGGGGGGGCGGTCGCGCTAGGTGTCTCCCTTTCTACACTCAGGGCCGCCCGCTCTGAGCCCCGCACCGTGCAGCCCACTTGCCTGGGCACAAAGAGGGTCCCAGAGTTCTCCACTGAGACAGAGACTGCACGAGACGGAAACATAGAGAGAAAAGAGGAGAAACACAGAATGGGGAGGAGGGAGGACGAGACTCAGAGAGGAGAATACAGAAGATCCGGGAGAGAGAGGAGGCGAGCTTCAGAAAGGGATCCCAGGGGCGGTGGGAGGGGGAGTGGAGAGGGTTGGAGTGGGCCCGGCCCTAGGCAATCTGGGGTCCTGGGGAAATGGAAAGAGGCTCTCCCAGCGGCGGGATCCGGACGCCGGCGCGGCAGCTCTGAGTCTCGGTCCGGTCGGCCCGCTCTCCCTTTCCCGCTGGTCGCAGATGCTGAAGCCGCTAGTGGAGAAGCGGCGCCGGGACCGCATCAACCGCAGCCTGGAAGAACTACGGCTGCTACTGCTGGAGCGGACCCGGGACCAGGTCAGTCCCTCCGCCAGGTACAGACCCCCAAGCATCCGCTTCCCGCTTCCCAGGGCTTCCCACTGGGGTAGGGACACAGGCTGACCCGAGCCCGGTCCTTGGGATCCCATTCCAGACTCCCCACGCTCTCAGAACGTCGGGTCTGTAAGTTTCCCGTCTGGTTCTGTAAATTTCTCTCCCAGGGTGGGTCAATCACGCTGTACCTTTCTAAATGTCCCCTTCACCTCCCCTACACCCCCAGATCAGCCAGCTTCAGTCCGGCCGGTAGTGTTCCCTCCCTGGGTTGCCCTTCCGACCCCCTCCTCACACTCTGAGTACCGGTTCCACGCCCTCGGCTTGGACGGTTTCAACTCAGGGTGGGACAGGACCATTCTTGGTCATCTCACTCCACATCCGGTCGCGCGTTCTGGGGGCACTGCCAGCTCCCGTTCCCGCCCCTCCCTTCTTCCCCCTGCCACTTTCCCCCTCTCTTCCCACCCCTTTCTGTCTCTGCGCCCTCCCCTCCCATCTGTAGAACCTCCGGAACCCGAAATTGGAGAAAGCGGAGATACTGGAGTTCGCCGTGGGCTACTTGAGGGAGCGAAGCCGGGTGGAGCCCCCGGGTACAGAGCGGGGGTGGGGCAGCGGAGGGTGGAGGGGACCCCTGGAGGCTCGGCTGGGGAAGCTGGGGCAGCCCTGCTGTGGACGGTGGGCTCGGGGAGTGGCAGGCTCTGCTCCTAGGCGAGGTTAATAATACCCGCGCGTGTCTGTGTCTGTGTCTCCCTCATTTTTTCTCTCTATCCATCCATCTGGCTTCCTGTCTCTGTGCGCCCGTCTGACCTCGGTCTCTCTGCGCCCCGCCCCTTCCCTCACCCCTGCTGGGTCCCTGCCCTGCCCGACTGTCTTCCCGCTGGCCGCATCCGCCGCCGCGGCTCCAGGGGTTCCCCGGTCCCCAGCCCAGGACGCCGAGGCGCTCGCCAGCTGCTATTTGTCCGGCTTCCGCGAATGCCTGCTCCGCTTGGCGGCCTTCGCGCACGACGCCAGCCCGGCCGCCCGCGCCCAGCTCTTCTCCGCGCTGCACGGCTACCTGCGCCCCAAACCACCCCGGCCGGAGCCTGTAGATCCGAGGTCCCCAGTGTCGCGCCCACCGCTGGACCCCGCCGCACCAGCCCCTGGCCCCGCGCTGCACCAGCGCCCCCCAGTGCACCAGGGGCCCCCTAGCCCGCGCTGCGCTTGGTCCCCATCCCTCTGCTCCCCTAGCGCCTGGGATTCTGGCGCGCCGGCGCCCCTCACCGGACTGCTGCCGCAGCCACCGCCGCCTTACAGACAAGATGGGGCGCCCAAGGCCCTGTCGCTCCCGCCACCCGCTTTCTGGAGACCTTGGCCCTGAGCTCTGGGGGGTGGGGGCGGGGGCGGGGGCGGGGGCTGGGCGTGGGGTAGAGACTCCAGTCCGAGGGCAGCAGAGGGATCCGGGCGTCCGGGCGGGGCGCGCGGGCTCAGCGCGCGGGTGAGATGTGGTCTATATTAGAGTATCTATATAAATATATATTTCCTGGTTCCTGTCCCTTTTCCCTGACCCCGTCCACCCTGCGGCTAGGATTGTACCTTCTCTGCCCCAGCTCAGTCCCAGTCCTTTCCCAAGTCCCTAGTGCATGGAATAAAGTGGTTGGTTATTAAATCCCCGTGTGTCCCGGAGCCAGGGGCCTGCCTTTATCTCGGCGTCCACGCCCACTTTCCCTTCCCTTCTGTCTCCTACCCCTAGTCCTGCTCTCCATGGCCCAAGCCCCGGGGCAGACAGGTAAGTAAAGAGAGCAGAGCGGAGACTAAGGTTAGGTCTGAAACCAAGAGGGAAGCGCAGATAGGATAGGGGTGAAGGGATGAAGGGATGGGGCCTTTAAGAAAAGCCAGATAAAAAGAAAAAAAAAGTTACTGAAATAAAACCGACTCTGGTGGGATTCGAACCCACAACCTTTGAATCGCCTTTTTCGTCACTAGAAGTCCAATGCGCTATCCATTGCGCCACAGAGCCACTTGGTGGGTGGTGGCTTCTCACAGCTTACGGTTACCAGAGTGGGGAAGGGAAAGGATAGTTGGAAATTGGGCGAGGTGTGCCAAGAGCGCGAGGTTAGGCTCCCGGAGGCCAGTGAGGATGAGAGGAAGCCTGCTCAAAGCACGTGAGCCAGGTGGGAGTGAGGGTGCAGAAGGGTGCGGGAAACAAGGAGGGAGAGCAAACAAGAGCGAGCAAGAGTGCAAAGCTCCGGCTGCCCGCTTGGGGAGTGCTTCCAGCTCAGGCGCACTGCACTCCCTGATGTGGTCCCAGCAAATAAACTCGTTTTGTTGTAAATTTCGGTGTCTGTTTTCTCCGGTTTATCTTTTTTTGCCAAGCGGTCCAGGGTTTGTTCCCCGCTCCCCTTTCTCCAGGGTTTCGATGGTTCCCCAGTCCTAATTTGAAGGACGTGAACAAGACGGTCAATTTGGCATTGTCTTCGCCTCAATTTCTGCCTTTCTACTCTCTTAGGAGGATAATGGGGACCTTACGCTTTCATGCAGGTAGCGTGGCCGAGCGGTCTAAGGCGCTGGATTTAGGCTCCAGTCTCTTCGGAGGCGTGGGTTCGAATCCCACCGCTGCCAGGCCAACGTTTTTTCCGCTTTTATGAGGACCCTAAAAGAGCAGTTTCAATATCCACTTTCTTCTGCTTAGTCTTCTAGAAGACTATAGGGTCTGTATCCGTACTCCAAACCAAGACGTGACGGAAACTGACGAAATAACCTATGTTTCTTCGTAACTCATCTCCATTTTAACATGTTCAAACATAACATTTTAATATCACAATTGGTACAACTTCCAAAATATAAAAATGATTTTCTAAACTTTCTCCTTCATCTGTTAACGGAGATGTCAATTACCTAGCATGAAACAAGAACAAGCTTCTAACTTGCTTTTGGTTTAAGTTCTCCGGTGAAAAAGAGCATGTCACACACAAAACAACAAATACAGTGGACCCTCAGCTTACGACCGGCCTGACATACGAGCAACTTGGGTTAACTAGGTTAATGGAAGGTTCATCTATCTCTTGTTGTCGATAACGTGTACCCAGGTAAGCATCCAGATCTCAGATGTATTGACTTAGTTACAACCAGCCCTCGAGAGCCGATCGAATTCATGAGTCCACTATAATATAGAGCCAAAAAGTGAAAGGTTCCACCGAGATTTGAACTCGGATCGCTGGATTCAGAGTCCAGAGTGCTAACCATTACACCATGGAACCACTACCTACCCTCTTATCCTGAGATTTTATACATTTCTCAGCATTATATTTTGCCTATCTCTCCAACCTTGTCACTTAGCCAAAATACAACTACAGATGCTGAATCTAGTAGACATCACTCCTGAGCACCCGAAATGTGAATTACTATACATTGTCAGCTGCTGAGGTTGAAGGCTATATGAAAAAGAAAAAATTTCACTAATATTTAAAAATATTGATTATAAGTTAAGATTTTGGAATATTTGGTTAAGTAAGATATACTATTAAACTTAATCTCTCTGAATTTTTAAAACTCTTTTTGATGTAGCTACTACAAAGTTAGCATTCACATACATAATTTGCACACATACCGCTCTAAAACATCTCCTCTTTATTATTCTAAATGAAGCCAGGTACAGAAAGACAAATACTGTATGATCTCATTTATTTGTGGAGTTTAAAACAATCAAATTCACAGAAGTGGAGAGTGGAATGATGGTTACCAGAGGCTGGAGAGCTGGACAGATGTGGTGATGATGCTAGAGAGCACACCTTCAAGTGGACGGGAGAAATAATGTTTTAATGTTTATTACACATCATAGTGACTACAGTTAATAATTACGGGTTATGTATTTCAAAATTTCTGACAGTAAATTTCAAATGTTCTCACAAATAAGATTTTGAGTCGATAAATGTTAATTAGTTTGATTTGGTCAGTCCACATTGTAGATATAACTTTGTACCTTATATACAATAATAATTTATCAATATACAATAAAAAATTAAGAAATAAACCAAGATCATATTTAAAAAACTCTTTTCCTCCACTTTCATTCTGTACTTCAGAAATTAAATGACTGACTCAAGATCACTGTCTTTTGAAAAAAGGTAACTACTTCTTGTTTTACTCTTTTTCATCGCTTTGTTCAAAGAACCCCAGTATATTTAACTATCCCCCAAAACGCGACTATCTTTAGATGGGGTAAAACGTAAACGCCCGAACAGGGACTTGAACCCTGGACCCTCAGATTAAAAGTCTGATGCTCTACCGACTGAGCTATCCGGGCTCTTTAGAAAATAGTTCTTCCTCTGCCTAGAAGAGTTCTCTGCAGACAAACGGGCAGGCTCGCAGAACGTATAAATGTATGTCTGGGCAGAGGATCGCAGACTCTGAAGAAGCGTGAGTGGCCCCGACACAGCTGTTTACGTTTTCCCCGCCTCCCTGCCTCAGATTCCCTCACCGACTGTGGGACACAGGAGCGAGAGAGCAGCGGAGGTTGGATCAGTATCTTGCGGTGTCGGGACTGGCCGAGCGGGGTCGCTGCGGACTTCAGTCTTCCCACTCTGTTCCCGGGCTGCTGTAACCCAAATCCCGGACCCTCGGGCACCCAGGCTCCCTCCCACAGAACTGCGGGGTGAGGGCAGACCTGGAATGCAAAGAATCCTCCATGAGGCCTCTACACCCTTTGTGCCAGGACTCCACTTGTTTGCTGACCCGCCCTATCACAAGGGAGAGGTTCGGTCCGTTGTGCCAAAGGATGGGGACAGACACCGAGCGTGGGGAGAGGATGGATGTGGCTGTTCCTGACCCTCCTGTCACGTGCCGAGGTGTGTGTACGGCTCTCCTGCATGTGGCTGCAGTCACCTGTGCTGTATGACTGAGTGTGCCTCATCCGTGCATAGTGAGTCACACATGGGTGACTCACGTGTAGGACAGTTCTGGCTGGGAGACAGGAGGAAGGCTCTTGGGTAAAACTGGGGAGTGGGTGGACAAGGGTCCTAGAGCATCAGTCGAGTGCCTGACTAGGCAGAGGGCAGTGTTGCAAGCATACAGGCATCACGGTCTCCCTGCTTCCATTCTAGTATTTGGTCCCTCCCGCCCCAGTGGACCTAGATTTCTGATATTTATCTGGTGAGTCAGCCAAGGGACCGGCTGTGCCAGAGGCACACAAACAAGTGTAGGGGTGCAAGACTAGGCGGGGAGAGTGAACCAGAGCAGCCTGCCCAGCGCTTCGGTGAGAGAGAGCCCAGGAGTATCCTAGAGACAGCTGAGTCCTTCCTCAGTCCAACATTTCCCCAGCCCCCTCGCACCCATCCAGCAGCGCCCCCGCTTGGGTTTCGCTCGCCTCCTCCAGGCCAGCGTTGCTGGGCACCCGTCCTTGCCTCTCATCATGGCAGTGTACCGCCTGTGTGTGACCACTGGTCCCTACCTGAAGGCCGGCACACTGGACAACATCTCTGCCACACTGGTGGGCACGTGTGGTGAGAGCCCCAAGCAGCTGCTGGATCGAGTGGGCAGGGACTTCACCCCTGGATCGGTGAGTATAAGGGAGAGAGGTACAAACTCTGGGGAAGAGCTTCTAGGGGATCCTGAAGGAGGGGAGGATCTTTCCTGCCCAATTCATCAAACCTTGCTAAACCGGGGTGCTCACACTGGCCTAGTCACCATTCCTTTTGTGTTCTCTGCCTTTTCTGGGATGACAAACCTACCCAGGTGGGGCTGTGAAGTGGAAGGAGGATTGGGCAGGGGTCCTGGACTTCCTTTGGCTTCCTGGCTCCTCCCATAATTGACCGGGCTTTGAGCCAGTCCCTTCCGGTGGCAGCCTGGCTTTCCTCTGGGTGGTAGGGAGGAATCTGCCCACCTTCTTGAACAGCACAGCTGTTTGCTGGTGGCTATACAAGGGAGCCCTGCTGGCCAAGGTAGCTAGGGAAATCCAGGGACACTCTGCTCACACACCACCGGGGATCCTGCTTCCTCCTAAATGGAGGGCTGTCTTTTTCTCATTCATATAAAGGCACTACATGGGTCAGCATAGACGAAGGTGTCCTGCACCTTGCAAGATGCAAGGATGGACTGGGTAGTTCCCGGCCTCTCACTTGCTTGCTCCATTGGTTGCTTCAGGTGCAGAAGTACAAGGTGCGCTGCTCAGCAGAGCTGGGTGAACTCTTGCTGCTGCGTCTGCACAAGGAGCGCTTTGCCTTCTTCCGAAAGGACTCCTGGTACTGCAGCAACATCATTGTCATTGCCCCAGATGGCACTGTCATCCCCTTTCCCTGCTATCAGTGGATCGAGGGCTACTGCACCATGGAGCTGCGTCCAGGAACAGGTGGGCCAGAGGAGAAAGCTGCACTATACTGTGAAAGTCTTTTGGGATTAGGGATGGGGTGTCCCAGAGCCCACTATGTAGGCAATAGGGTTGGCTTTAGGAATGCTAGGCTCCCAAGTAGATACATTATGAAAGTTTTTCAGTAAAGCCCTGGAGTGCAAGGGCTTTCTGGGCAGTATTTGCTCCTCCAGAGGCACACAAGGACATGCACATTTGTATGCTTGTGTAAACATACACTTACATACAACAAGCAGTCTGCTTACCACAGACTTTCTCTGGACTTTCTCAGAGTGTTCCTCTGGAGCCTAGGGAGAAATTAACCTGCAAGCTAATTAGACCTCAATAGAATTCCTCTGTGTTTGGAGAATTTAGTTGGAGAGGCCCTGTCTCTTTTTTCTGGGTTTGCTAGCATGGCTGAAGTCCCTTGGGGGTGAGTGAGGGTCCTTTGTTAAATTTGTGCAGGATTTCTAGGATGCTGGGGTCCAGTCTCTTCTGCCTCCAAATCTGTCTGGCCCATGGAGGCAACATTAGGCCTGCTCTGTGCATTGAGATGAGTCTCAGGGATGAAAAATGGACATTCTAGGTCAAAGTGAGGCATGTGAGCTCTTCATAGACTTCACTGTAAAGCCCCATCTGTCATCACAGTACATCCACAACTTCACAAAATATATTTATTCACCAGTCATTTATCAAGTGCTTGTTATGGGCATGGTGTTAGGTACCATGCAAGATTCTTCAAATACAAAACATGAATATAGCATGATTTCTGCCTTCAAGGAGTGTCCAGATTAGAAAGAAGGTACATGTGGAACCTGTTATAAGGAAGATCATTATAATTTGAGGGTACAGTTGTCTCAAATCCCTGATGAATGACGAAGAGCACAGGGGCATCCCCCATGCAGCTCATATGTAGGTGGCTGTGGGGCTGGGCTCAAGGGTTAGGGGATTTAGGAAGATTTGCAGGAGGGGGTGTGGTTTGAGAAGAGACTTATATGAAGAATGATTTTCATTCCCCACAGCGAGAACCATTTGTCAGGACTCCCTCCCCCTGCTCTTGGATCAGAGGAAGCGAGAGCTCCAGGCCAGACAAGGATGCTATCGGTGATGTTTCTTTTCCCGTGTTTATTCTGACCTCACCCTTAATCAAATTGTTCCTAATGCTGACGTCAGTCCCAGGCTTGGGATCCCAACTCTGGTCAAGACTCATTTAAACCTAACCCTACTCTAATGGTGACCCCAAGAAACCAATATCAACAATTATCTCTGGATGGAAATGTAGCTATAGCTCAGTGGTAGAGCACTTGCCTAGAATGCCTGGGTTTCATCCCCAGCACCCAAACAAAACAAAAACAAAATAAACATAAAAACCCCCAAAATAACTATCCCAATATCATCAACAAATCCATACTCCCCCTAAATGTTCCTGATTTAACCCAGATCCCATATCACGAGTGACTCTAGGCTAGTGCTTACCAACCTCAACCCATCCTCAGCCTCATCCTCAAACCCATCGTGATCTTAATCTCAACACAAACCCCTTTCTAAACCAGTTTGGGCATTTATGTCATCCTCCAATGCTATCCTGGGGACTGGGGTGTAGTTCAGCGGCATGCACAAGGCCCTGGATTCAACTCCCCACCTGCTGCAAATCCTAATCTGAAGCCCAGTGCATTGATGGAGAAAATCCAATTCTTGGTCACATACCTAGAAAATGAGTAGTCTATGGAGTTTTAATCTGAAATCAATTCTTTAAAATTGAAGCTTGAGTTGGGTGTGGTGGTGCATGCCTGTAATCCTAGCACCATGAAAGGCTGGCTCAGGAGAATTGTAAATTGGAGCCTGGTTTGGGCAATGTAGCAATTCAGTGAGGCCTTGTCTCCGAAAAGAGGGAAAGAAAAAAATAGGTGCCAAGAGAGTGCAAAGCCCCTGGTTTCAATCCTCAGTACCACCACTGACAAACAAATAAAACAAAATTAAAATTGAAAAGCTAAGGGTGTTTATCCCAAGCTTGACCTGCCATCTCTGCTTGATCTGCATCTTTTCCCAGGCAGCTGGAAGATCTATGCCCCTGGCTTCCCTCGAATGGTGGATGTCAGCAGCTTTGAGGAAATGGAATCAGACAAGAAATTTGCCTTGACCAAGACGATACCTTGTGCAGACCAGGGTGACAGGTGCGGACTGGGGCTTGGGAATGAGGTAGAGGGGAGTGAGGTGGAAGGAGGGCCAGATGAGACTGGGCAGCCTGGATGGAGGAGTTGGGGTCTATATCAAAATACCGTTTCATTCAAGTGTCAGGAACAGAGGGGACTGGGGATGGGGTCTGACAGAGAGGATGAAAGTGAAAAGGTCATTTCAGATCTGGAGCAGAAAGGGCAAGGGACGAGCCAGGAGAAAGGAGGAACCTGGGGACTGGGGATGAGGGGGCAGGACCGAGGGAAGGAATTAAAAGGAGAGGCTGCAGGTCCCACTGACCAGTATCTGTCTTTCTACTCCCCTTATCCCCAGCCCTGGGAATCGGTACCTGCCTGGATTCCCCATGAAAATTGACATCCCGTCCCTGCTGCACATGGAGCCCAACATCCGCTACTCAGCCACCAAGACAGCGTCGTTGCTCTTCAATGCCATTCCCGCGTGAGACCACTGTCCTCTCTCTACCCTTGCTCACTGCCCTGTCCCTTTGTGCACATCTCATGTCCCTGCTCCCCAGGCCCTCTCCCTACACCATTCTTCTCTCTCACTCCCTCTTTTTGTCCCCCGATCTCCTTTTCCCTTGCTCCTTAGTCTCCTCCCCTCTGCCTACTTTGCACCTCTCAGAACACTTAGCGCATGATCCAGGGACTACTGGTGGGGCCGTGTCTAATAAGACAGAGAGGCCTAGCCCTTAGCTTTAAGGAGATGGAGCCAGACAACTTCAAGTTCAAGTCCCAGAACTAATATTTTTTAGCTATGCGCCGTTAATTTTTCACTTAGTCTCTAAACAATTTCCTCACTTGTTAAAAGACAAATAATGTCCATTCCTACCTCATAGATGTTGAGGAAAATGAAATGAGATAATTACCCAGGACAAAATAATCTCTCAATAGGGGTTCCCTGGTACTAGTATTTGAAAATAGCCTTTGGCCAGGAGGAATGCACGGCTTCACTCAGGAGGCATGAATGCAGTTAATTAGCAGTAGCAGTCATCAGAAGTTTAAGTAAACAGCTGGGGCTCTAAGTGTGATGTGGCTGGAGGGAGGAGTTCAGTTAACCCTCGGGTGACTAGAGAGGACAGGTGTCAGCTGGGTCCAAGTGGTAGGTCTGTGGAGAGAAGAGATGAGGGAACAGTAGGCAGGTACTACTTACAGTCCAAACACAGGTTGGGGACAGTTGGCCAACTACTTAGGTGGGAATGGGAGACTCAGCTGGCCAACCAAGAAGGGGCTGCATGTGGAGCCCCAGAGGCAACCAAGACAAGTGCTTGGGCCTCATCTCCTGGACTTCTGTGCTTGGAATGATTCTTTCTGAGGACAAGTGGGACAGGAAGTGGACATAAGGGATGAACAAGAGCTCAGGAGTGTCTGAGGTGGATGGAGTACGCAGAAGGCCACGCATGCGCCAGGCTTCAGGAAAAGAAGAGGTTGTGAGCCTCTAGCATGACTGAAGGGTCAGAGGGGCATCTGAGGAGACAGAGAGTGCCCTTGAGCTGGTTCCCGGGGGGATGTGGAGGAGTAGGGAGAGTAGAACCCGGAAGACCACAGCACCACCAGTGAGGGCTCTGAGAAGAGCCAGTGGGAACAGGGAGCTGCTTGGAGACCTGAGGGTGGGGCGACTGCACAGTGTTCTGAAGGACATTTGTGGAGGAGGGGACTTGTCAAGTGAAGTCTTTTTTACTCCCCTTTATTTGCCTCCTTAGCTTCTCTCATGGTTGAGTTCCTGGCTGGTTTTTCTCATCTCTTGGGTTTTGATAGCTGGGCACCGAGCAGATGTTGGTACAGTAAGTGAGCAAGCACTTTGTGAGATAGGCAGTCTCCACCCTGGGCCTGACAGATTGTTAATCCCTCCCCCTGCCACTTGCCCTCTGCCTTCCCCAGTTGCCACAGTCTTCAGGACATACTCATGTCTCTTACTGACTACTACAAGCCTACCTGTTCCGGGCTTCATCCCCTTTCCTTTGGTTAAGTACACTTGGTGAGTGGTTATTAGGAGGAGGGTGTGTTAGGGCACACAGAGCCGAGATCTTGCCCTAAGGAGCTCACAGCCAAATGGAGGCCGTTATATGTGTCCTGTGTTTATAATGTAATGCGGGGAAAGGTAAGTGTTTTGTGAAAGATCCAAGGTATGTGTTTTAGAGGGGGCCAGACAGGCTTCATAAAGGACTCTGCATCTTAGATGTATCTAGAAGAACAGAGAGACCTCCTATAGTAGAGATGGCTTTCTAGGGGAGACCCAGCTGGAACAGAGCCCTGAAAGTGAGGGAAAGCCAATTTAATTTCAGCCATTCCCTCCATTGTAAAAAGATATTTACTTTAAAAAAAAAAATCAAGGGCCGGGGATTTAGCTCAGTGGTTCCGCTGCCTGCCTTGCAAGCCCAAGGACCCAAGTTTGATCCCCGGTACCAAAAAACCCAAAATCAAACAGTATAGACATCCAGAAAGAGGGCCTATCTCTCTGCTTGACAGCTCTACTTTCACCAGTTCAGTAGTACACAAAGTATGTGCTTGGTTATGACTGGAGAGCAGGCCTTGGTCAGCCTTGTTTAGAGCACGGGGTGGGAGAAAAAGCTGGAAAAGTTGGTAGAAACTGGCTGGTGGGAAACTTCACGAATCAGCCAGGATTCACAGCTGGGGCTTTGTCTTGTAGGCCAGGGATGGGGTGAAGATCTATGACAAGGATGACACTTGGAGAAAGCAGCCAAAACCCCAGTGATGGTGGCTTATCTGCACCAGGGGGCCAGAGGCACCAGTACTCCTCCTAGGGATGTTTCCATTTGAACCAGGAACTCCTCAGTCTACAGAGCCTCAGTGGAGTACTAGGCTTGTTTCCTGTGTGGATTCTTAGGTACCTCTCATTTAGGGGATGACTCCCTAGTTCTCCCCAGGCTGGGGACACAGGGCTTCCAACAGCTGCCAACACCCATTCTCATCTTCCTCTCTCCCACAGGTCCTTGGGCATGAAGATTCGGGGGCTTCTGAACCGAAAGGGTTCCTGGAAGAAGCTGGATGACATTCGGAATATCTTCTGGTGCCACAAGACCTTCACTACAGGTGTGCAGAGCCAGGCAGGGGATGCCTATCCTTCACCTTGCCTCATGCCAGTCTCTTTCCTCCCTGACCCAGTCTTTCCTGGGAGACTGCTGAATTTGAGTGGGAGATGCTCCTGGACCTCCCAGGATCCCCTTGCAAACCCAGGCACCTCCTCTGATGGGGAGGATAAGAATACGTCAGTGAGAATCCTGATTAGGAGCACACAACACACTTCCCTACTCCTGCAACCAGATGTTCTGGGCTTTGGGGCCAGAAGGGCTTAGGTTCAAATCCCTGCTCTGCCACTCAAGCAGGCAAGTCTCTCAGACCCTCAGTGTCTAACAGTCAACCAAAAATGTACCTACCTCATAAAGATACTGGGAGAAAACCTAAACCACAGTGATGAGCAAAGGGCTGGACAGGACCAGAATCTAGGAAAGTAATTTCCAGACCTTCTGGTCCCCTCTCTTGCTCCTTAGAGTATGTCACAGAGCACTGGTGTGAGGACAACTTCTTTGGGTACCAGTACCTGAATGGCGTCAATCCTGTCATGCTCCATTGCCTCTCCAGCTTGCCCAGCAAGCTGCCTGTCACCAATGACATGGTGGCCCCCTTGCTGGGACCAGACACCTGTCTGCAGACAGAGCTAGAGGTGGGTGAGGACGTTGGTAGTGGGCTTGATAGGAGGGAGGCAACTGGGTGGCCATTATGGACAAAGAATGAATGTGGACAAAGACAGAATGGCCTAGGCCTGGGGACCTCATCCCCTGTGCAGCCCTGTTCCTGCATCTTTCAACTTGAGCAGATGGAGATAAGGGCAAGATGGGGCTTGGGATGATCTGAGGCCTGTTTTGGGGCCTGGAAGATCCCAATGTTGAGGCCTGAAAAACAGGCCAATGGGAAGGCCTCCACATGTAGCTGGAACAATCATGGAGGACTAAGAGCTCTGAGGGCATGGGGGTAGGTGAAGACCCTCTCTCTCTGGGGCAGCCATGCCTCAGACATTTTCAGCAGGTTAGTTGATTCTCACTGTGTGTTGATTTTGTTATTGTTGAATACACTGAGGTCAGATATCAAAGGGGGAGGTGACAGTAGGGAGAACTAGGTGTGCAGGAAAGAGGACGCTGGCTTGTCCTGGACACTGGAGAGAGATCAGGTGAGAGGTTACACAAGGAGAGACTCATCTGGACCTCATTCTGCACATTCTGGGAAGGGTGCGGTACCCAGCGTTGGCCCTTAGCCCAGGCATCAAGAATTGCTGAGGCCACACTGGGGACTTTAGCTCGTTCTTGCGGCACAGAGCCGATAGGGAGGCAGAGCGCGGGTGCGAAGGGCGCGCTTAGCCTTCTGTGCGCCTTTTCCAGAGAGGCAACATCTTCCTTGCTGATTACTGGATCCTTGCCGATGTCCCGGTCCACTGTTTAAACGGCCGCCAGCAGTACGTGGCCGCCCCACTCTGCTTGCTGTGGCTCAACCCTCAGGGGGCGCTGCTGCCACTGGCCATCCAGGTGAGCCTGGGGCGGGGCTTCGGGGTGTCGGGCTCAGGGGACCAACAGTGTTGAGCCTCACCTCCTTATCACTCTCGCAGCTCAGCCAAATCCCCGGGTCCGATAGCCCCATCTTCCTGCCCACTGACTCCGAGTGGGACTGGCTGCTGGCCAAGACGTGGGTGCGTAACTCAGAGTTCTTGGTGCATGAGAACAACACGCACTTTTTGTGCACGCATTTGCTGTGCGAGGCCTTCTCCATGGCCACCCTGCGTCAGCTGCCGCTCTGCCATCCTATCTTTAAGGTTGGTGCCATGCAGGGAAGGGACCAAACTGGGTGAGGGACCCAGGCGGCCTTCTTCCTTGACTTTGGACTCACGTGACCTCATTCTGCTCGCAGCTCCTGCTTCCCCACACTCGCTACACGCTGCAGGTGAACACCATTGCCAGGGCCACGCTGCTCAATCCCGACGGCCTCGTGGACCAGGTGTGGTCTCCTTACCCTGGGAGAATGGCCCTTCTGGCCGCGCCCACAGGCTCAAAACAGTTGGATAATCTCCACCTGGCCCTTCCCGAAAGCCCCGCCCTCCCCACTTGCTCCGCCCATGAGGTCCACTCTCGCGTTCCACCCCCTGAAGCGGTTTTGCAGGCAGGGTGGCTCCAGCCCCAGCATTACTCCTAGAGGAGCCTGCGCCCAGCCAGGTTCTTGCTGCTCCGGCTTTCAGTGTATTCTTTTCTTATCCAATATCTGAGGATCTCTATTATGCACGTAGTAGGGCCGCAGCCCACGCAGTCTGCATTGAGGCAGGCCCAAATGGGTGTGGACGGCTTAGTGAACAGCGAAAGCCCCAGTGTGGTCCCCAGGCCCTGGGCAGAGATTGGGCCAGCCCGGGAGCAGAGCTGTATTGTGTCTGCAGGTCACGTCTATCGGGAGGTGCGGCCTCCTCTACCTCATGAGGACCCATCTGGCCCACTTCACCTACACCAATTTCTGCCTTCCGGATAGCCTTCGGGCCCGCGGTGTCCTAACCATTCCCAACTACTACTACCGAGATGACGGCCTGAAGATCTGGGCAGCCATTGAGAGGTGTGAGCCCAGCAGGGCAGCCCCTCTCGCCCCACCAGGGCTGTGCCCATGCCAGCTGGGGCACTTGGGGCTAGGGATTCCAGGTGCTCGCAGACTCCAGTCAGCATAGGGACTGTCCAAAGGTGGGAATTGGAGTTAGGGTCCCCTGTGGAATGGCTGGTAGCTGTGAGCTACAGAGAGGTTGGTGCATGTGAATGCAGTGGAAGAAGGGAAAAGAGGCCGGGCCATCCAACAGCTAAGGATGGTTGGGGACGGCAGGCAGCCAGGCAGGGCTTCCTCCTCTGGGCTGCTTCATGCTGAAGGGGAGGACAGCACGAGGCAGACTCTTCCCAGTGAATTCTCTGTCAGGCTCCTGTGTAGGAGGGAGCATTCTTAATTCGGGAGGGGGGATGAGACTTAAGGGAAACCAGGATACTCGGGTTCCAACTGGATCAGGAGCTCATGGACTGAACCACCATGGACTCTCAGTGGACTCTGTCTATCTGCCTCTCCCCAGCCCAAGTGGCAGTGGGCCTTGGCACTGTGGGCAGGCAGGGCTCCGAGGTTCCTCCAGGGGCACCACCGTCTCTTCCCTGCAGCTTTGTCTCAGACATCGTGGGCTACTATTATCCCAGTGATGATTCTGTGCAGCAGGACTCGGAGCTGCAGGCCTGGGTCAGCGAGATTTTTACTCAGGCGTTCCTGGGCCGGGAGAGCTCAGGTACCTCTTCTCTGTTACTCCTTCCCAGTCCCCATCCCCTGGCACAGGGTCATAGCAACTGAATTCTCCACTCGTGTTTAAATCAATTCTTCTTATTATCATATTTTGACTTTGAAACTCATAGTATTACTGTCCCACTTAGCGGATGAGGAAATAGGAACAGAGAAGGCTGCAAAAGCAGGACCCCAGGCCAGCTTTGATTGTCTCCCACACCCTTGCTTTTCAACAGTGCCCCTCTGGTCTTGCCACATTCACATAAAGCCATCCATTCACTCAGCTTGCCGAGCTCTGTCAATCTGCAGCATGTGGTAGGAGGCACCTCTGACTTCAAAGGATTCTGGAAATTTTTCTCGTACCCTCTTGTGCCTGTTCTGCCAAGTGGTCCCTCTAGTCACCAATCTCTCTTCACTTCATCGAGTGGGCCTTGCTGCTGCCAGACTCCTGACTCATACCTTTCCTCCAGCCTTTGCTCTCCCCTGTCTTCTGACACTGGCTGAGAGGGCTCTGAGAATCACCAACCCCAGAGGCCCCTCTCAGCCTCCTTTCCTTAAATTCAGTGTCAGGCAGATGCTCCAGCCCACTTTCTTTCTTTGATCTTTGTTCTGCTCCTGGGAGGATTTGGCCTTCTGACCCTCCAGCTTCTTCCTGGGTCCTAGCCACCTCCCTGTCCCAGCTCTTGGCTTGCCTTGGCTCTCTGATTCCTCTTTTTCTCCTCCCTAATGGAATGAATCAATCTTCTGTTTCTCCTCTGTAGCTGATTTCCAGAGTCAGAAATCTCACCTCTTCCCAAGTCTGAAGGACTTTTCTTTTTGGCCTCTCACTCTTGACGATGTTATGACCAGCACATGAAAATTACAAGTTAATTTTATAGAGTGACTTCTGGCCTTGCTGAGGTTAAAGTGGCTCAAATGTCTGTCCTCCAGGTCCCCCAGCCCTGGTCTGAGACTTCTCTCCACAGGAATGTAGCTTTCAGCTGGGTTAGTGCTTCTGGTTGCACAGAGGACTGGGGGGTGGGGGAGTGGGGGAGGTGTCTCAGGTCACCTGCAGATAGAACAGCTGTTGTAGTCCTAACCAGTAGGGTCAGAGCTTTGCCTTGCTTTTAAACAAAAGTTTCCAGTGTACTGGACAGTAGAGAATATAACCAACCGGTGTTACCCACCCACTAGATTTAACACTGGGCAACGTGTTGCCATATTTGATTAATCTGTTGCTTTTGTTTATTGCCAAAGCCTTGTAAAGTAAGTTGCAGTCCTCTTATTTCACCCCTAGTCAATATGCCTTTTTCTTTTTTTGTTGGTGCCAGAGATCGAACTCTGGACCTTGTGCTTTCGGGGCAGGTGCTGGAACCACTGAGCTAATCCCCGGCCTATGCCTTTTCAATAATGATAATTTTCCTACACCCATAATCCCAGCACTCTGGGAGGCTGAGGCTTGAGCTCAGCCTGGGCAATTTGGTGACTTAGTGAGACCCTATCTCCAAACAAACAAGCAAACAAACAAACAAAAAAATTCTTCTACACAACCACATGCTGACATTAAGTTCAGTGAAGTCCTAGGGATGGAACCCAGGGCCTTGCACTTCATGTACTCAGCTACTGAGTTACACTCAAATCCCTTAACAAAACTGACAATAATTTCTTTCTTTCTTTTTTTTTTTAACTGACAATAATTTCTAATGTAATCTCTTAACTTTTTTTGGTATCAGGGATCAAAGTCAGGTCCTTGTGCTTGCAGGGAAAGCAGCAGAACCATTGAGCTAAATCCCTAGCCCTTAACATTTTTTAAAATTTAAATTTCTTATAGTTTTGGGGATAGAGCCCAGGGTCTCACCCATTCTAGGCAAGTGCTGTACCACTGAGCTACATCCCCAGCCCTATATTTAACAAGATTGACAAAAATCTCCAGGGTCACCCTCATATCTAATCCATGCTCAAATATCCCCAACTTGTCCTTTTTTCTTCCAGTTGGTCCTGTTGACTCGAAAGCCAATCAAGGACTGTATTTTGTTTGTTTGGTTTTACTCTAAAGTCTCTTTTAACTTAGAAGAGTACTGCTTCCTCTTTGCCTTATTTTATGTTAAAACATTTATTAGCAGATGTTTGCAGTATATATGATTACCTTTCTATCATGGGGAGTTGGTACACATATATAATACATCAATTCTTTTTGTCCCCTAGGCCTCCCTGCTCCTTCCAACTCTTGGTCCCCTTCCCATTTGCAAAAGCTCTATTTTCTTTGC